ATATCGGTCTAAAAATAGCCGCATGCAGCAGTGGTACAGACCAACGCATAGTAGGTAACAAGAAATGCATAGGCAAATAGGACCGCAACAGCGTTTGGGGTGGGTGCACACTGCGTTAAAGAAAGGCTTGGAATATACATATGGAGGGGAAATCCACTTGACACCGTTAGGATAGAATAAGACAAAAAATTTAAAATTATAGTAAGTACAATGTTTAGAGAATAAGAAAGAGCCAAATATTAAATTATTAGTACACAAGAAAAAACTAGTACATAAGTTAAAAATTGTATAAATAGTGAGTAATTTCGATAATAAAATCAGAATGAAATTGGCAATTTAAGCATTGGTTTGTTTCCTTTTTTGTTCTCTCAGAGACGCTCTACAAGGGATAAAGTGTAGCCTCTGATAGTGAATAGTTTCTAGCTGTATAGCAAAGAACTATTTACAGTCATACATGAGTCGACCCATGGATATAGCTGCAATTTTTGCCGACACATATCCTTACTTTCCGTCATCTGTGCAAATAGTATTAATACATGGTCCGGACAATGGTATAATTGGTACAATGTGCGAAGAATTCCTTGAAGCCAGGAATAAGGATTTCAGCCAGGTAAAGAGAAGAGATGTTATACGATGGAATGTCAATCAACTTATAACATCTTTGTGAAAACATCAATATTTTCCAAAAAAGATGTTAAGATAGATATGCCGGTGATGGATTGCTCTCTAATTTTTCAAATACGTTGAATGATTCAGATTCGTCTTCTGAGTAATTAGTTAGTTGTAGGTAGGTAGGTGAAGCAGCCAGAGTTAGAAAAAAACCTAACTCACTTAGGCCATAATGATTTAGCCCATTGTGGTACCACGTGGACAAGTCCACTTGCCATATCCCCGTGGTTGGCTGCATTTCTGCGCATGTGTTGAATTCATCCAGATGCCCGGATGAATTTGAAAATGTCCTGATTTGCGAGGAGGCCTGCGCTAGAAAGCGTAGTCTGGTCCTTAACAGTACTGGGCAGTCGCAGAAGAGATGGGAAACTGTTTTCTCCTCTTCTTCGTCTCTTGTACAGAAATCGTTGTGTTGAAGTCCTAGTCTAGCGGCATGGGAGCCCACCAGCCAGTGCCACGTGATGGCTCTGATTACAGCTGAGCATTGGCTTCTGCTCAGCTTATGGGCCACGTTTGACGTGTGATTTTGTGGTGATCTATGTCATTGGTCCACATATGATTTGCAACGACATCGAAGTGGTTCCGAACGGACAGTTTGCAGCTGGCCATCGGTATACCGATACTCTCCTTGTATGGAAAGAGGGAAACAGTGGTACCCTGTCTTGCCTGTTCGTCGGCTATGCAGTTTTCCTCTATGTCCCGATAGCCTGGGACCCAAATGATGTATTCTGAGAACTGTGTACTCCTTTTGGGTGCAATAGTCAGTGACTGAGAGGATTATGTCGTTTCCTTTCAGGATTTTGTCATGACTATGGTTTGTTTTTCTCATGTGGAGGGCCGCCAGCGTGGCGTTCATGAGATGTATTGGGAGTATTCCCAGAATCGCATTTAGTGCGTCGCTGGTACGCAGTGCACCCGGAATCGTTAGTTCAGCCTGCCGTTGAACTTTATTTAGTCTTTGAAGAGACGAATTTTTTGTCCGTGAGGGCCACCATATAGAGACTCCATATAAGAGTATGGGTCTAATAATTGCAGTATATAGCCAAAAGACAAATTATTGAAAGCACCTTCTATGTCTAAAAAGGCGGTATGGGTGTAAAGTTTGGTATTGAGGGCTTTTTCAATACTCGAAGTAACGGCGTGGAGTGCCATTTCTGTAGATCTGTCTTTACAGTAAACATGTTGGGAGCTTGAAAGCTCTGAGAGCGGGACTCGTCGGTCTGAAATCTTTAGGGGTGGTATGCGAAACTTTACCGGCTTTGGAAATGAAGATCACTTTTGATCTGAGCCAAGCTTCTGGGATACTCTTTGTAAGGAAGATTTTGTGAAAAATATCTGATGGCAGCATTTTCTGCGTGAAGTAGCTGTGTTGGAATAATATTCTCCGGCACAGCTGATTTATAGGGCTTGAAGCTTTTCATTACCCACCTGATGATATTATCGGATAATAGATCAGGCAGCGTGTGAGGTGTTGTTGAGGGTGCACTGCGACGTTCTATCCCTCGACGCGTTGGTGGACACCGGAGTCACTCGCAGCTTCGCAAGCCCAACCTTAGCACGACGCTTGAGAGAGCCAGGAGGCAAAAATGTGTGGAGTGTAGATGTACCGGTGTCACTACACTACATTAGGTCTGGATAACATCAGCCAGGCATCAGCCATACATCAGCAGCCCATCATCTGCGGCCACAAGCTGAAGTTACGAGATGCGAATGAGCAGCGACGGCAGACGGTCAGGGGCGCCTAAGGATACGGTGTGCAGCGCTAGTAACAGCAGAGCCAACTGAGGTTCCGTCAACGGTCCTGCTGATAGAGAAACAGGCTGTCAGAGTCTCCACGTTCCTTGAGGAAGAGTTTCCGCACTTTGAAAACATTGTCGTATCGTCAGTGGCAACACACACGATCCGCGTTAAAGAAGACAGGCCCATCAAACAGCTCTACTATCTGCGAAACCCTGTGATGCAAGCGGTAATTGATCACGAGCTACATGAATTGCAGGGAAAGGGCTGCCATTGAGCGGTCCGTTAGCGAGCACAGCGCACATATAGTGCTGGTAAGTAAGAAGAACGCTCGTAGCCAGATAGCGTCATCGGCCCAGTTATGGCACCACTCGCATTTGCTTATCTGAATGACATAGTCGTGGGGGGGGAAGACATTTGAAGAACACCTATGCAACGTGAGGGAGGTGTTCCAGAGACTGAGAGCGGCGAATCTGCGGGTGAATCAAGATAAGTATGGGTTTTTCGCTGGTCTATATGCTATCTAGGGCATGTGAAGAGAGAAGACGGGAAACAGACGGATCCCGAAAAGGTGGCCGCCATACGTGAGTTGAAACCCACAGCGAACCTAAAGCAGCTGCGGCAGTACATTGGCATGGCCTCATGGTACCGGCGATTCGTGCCCAACTTCTCGACGACAGTAGGGGCACTCACCGAACTGTTGCCCAAAGTTAATTACAGGCATGGCCAGGACGACTGTTTGCTCACCAATCATCAGACGTTCAAGACGGCAAGGTGTACTTGATGGGAAGCACAGAAGCACATAGAATAAAAGCGGCCAAAATAACAAGTCAACGGCACGTGGCGGCGCTGTTCAACGAAACTAAAACGGACCGCCGCCAAACTCTAGTGCAACTAGTGGTAACACTGTTTCTAACCGTTGATTGTTCGATCGAGAGCCCCAACAGACCGCGACACAGTGGAAGAAGGGACGAAACTATCAAAGAATTATTATTCGAGTAGCCAGGTCGTCCGGGCTCGGTCTGAATCTGAACAGACATCGGTAATGGCAACGATAGCACCTGCTGATTGCGACACAAAATAAAAAGAAGAAGAGAAAACAACATCACGCGCCAGAAAATCAATTTTATTTAAATATGTTTGCGAAGCCCAGAAAGCTGGAAGAGTGGGAGTTACAGGCCCAAATGTGCCGGGACCGTGGCACCCGAGGTGGCGCTTGGCACATGCCCTTCAGAGGGGGTACCACTTCTGCTGGTACCTCTATGCGCTCTGGAAAAGCGTCGCTGCTGGTATTCCTTCTCTACCGACCATACAAAGGAGGACAACGTGCCCACATTGCCGATTTCGTGTAGCAGCTCGCCAAGCTCCTCGTTCCGTAGCAGCTTAACCGCACTATTGTAGATCGCTAACCGTCGCTTGCTCTGCCAAGCAAGTATAAACGTATTATTCCTACTTTAGACGTCCTTGCTCGGGCTTCACTTGTGAACTTGAACTTTTCCCTTGGGTAAGCTCACTGGTCCCACTGCCCGTGCAACTAATTGTTTAATTAAATATTGGGTACCCAAACGGTAAATGACTACGGCTCAGATTCTCAAACAAATGTAATGGAATTTATTAAAAATAAAAAAAATAAAAATCAGTCTTCATCGGCAACCTACTCTCTTCTTTTCCCTTCGTCCGCAAAATAATAACTTATCCTACGCTTACCTACACTAACACTAACCTATTTTAGCTTCTCTCACCGTCCTTCCTTGTATCGGCACCATGTGACGGTCGTCAGGGAGGCGTTGCAGTAAATCTAGCTTAAGTGTAAGTTAGAGCGTAAAAAAAGACACACTTGTATTAATTATAGCCATGGAAGGACGGGCCGTCAACCGGCTGAGTAAGTAAGTTAGCGCGTAAGTAAAAGTCACATTGCGTTTCTTAACCACAAAATGCGATGAAATTTAATGTATTCAAACCGATTCTACCAGGATGGACTAAATAGATATCAGCACGTAACCTAGGCGGCAAGGATACCTTTGCCAGACCATGCTGCACAATGTTGTTATGTGGTATTAATTAGCAACATTCTTATACCAATAATAATCATTAGTAGCATTATTGTGCTTTTAATATATTTTATGCCTATGTACTTGTATTTAAGAATTATTTTGCAGCTGCATTTGTTTCAAGTAAAAATTACAAATACATTAAGAAACTTGATCATTTTTTGAATAAAGGAACAAAATTTATGCACAACCTGCTATCAAGGTAATCAAATTTGTTTATGACATTATTCTACGTGACATGTTTCCTTAAATTTCGTGAATGTTTCGATATATGTAGTTCTCTTGAACTTCCAGGAATATTTCGATGCTACTTTGACGTAAATGCGAACGTCGACGCATCTGCCTATCGATACCGGGTTCCTGTTGGACTATTATCGATATTTACTCAGCTGTTTACTGGCTTGGTTGTAAATTGTGGTTTCGTTTTGTGTGTTTATGTTTTTGCATAAAATAATTAAAATAAACCAAAAATGTAGTTTGTGCAGGAAAAACATAAAACAATTTGGTCAGATGTATGATTTATTATTGTGCTGATAAACCGGCGTGAATATAATAAGTCGAACTTTATCGTGCGTATAAAGCTTCATACATATGTATGTATATGTACATATATAAATGGAGCACGACAATGTTGTGTCAATAATGAAACCTAAATTAGAGTATGTGGAAAAAGATAAGGTGGGTCGTTAGCCGTGGGTACACGAGTAAGTATAACAGCATTCAATGCAGTGTTTCATTTTCAAATGTTTTATAGTTGAAATTGTAATAGGCGCCTTTGTTTCATTTACCGATTTACTATATACATAAGTACACCAAAATTTTCAGAACTGGTTATATTAATTTTATAGTTCTTTTCATCTTTTACGAATATTGTTTTATGCACCAATAATTAAATTGTTAACACAATTATCTAATACATCTAAACTTTTAGTTATTTTCTTAAGTTACGAAAACTGCATTCTTAATAGTCGCATTTTAAAGGCCTATAAGCAGTAAAGAAATTTTATAGTCCATTGTGGATCATATTCCTTAAATTACCATTACATCAGGATTTGATTGCTGTTTCTAGACTAATGTGAAACATGCTGTCCTCGCTAAGTATGAGGACACAATATTATAGCCACTTTTCACGCACACACAAAAGTTGAAATTGTATTTTACCTAATAAGATGCGGAAGGCAGAGTGGCATGTATTGTTGATTAGTATATTGAGATCAGTCGATATATATACATATCCATATCTGTCTGTATTAAGAATCACATTCCAATTCTTCCTCTGCTATATACAAGTTATAGCTTCCGTAGTTCTTCGCAGTTGCATCCTTTGCATGCTCACTGATGCTAACACGACGATTTTCAACGACCATTTCCTTCTCATTTTCCATGTCGTCGTCGACGACCACTCAAATATGTGCAGTTTTAATGCTACGGAAGAACATTCCAGTCACTTTCTATATGTCGCAAAGCTTGATATATTGGTATGGTCATTCTAGCTCTTATATTTTCTGAGATCCTTCCTTTCAGACAGACCTGCATCGCCTCATCGACTCCTCTTCTCATACTGATCAGTAATATACTCGTATGTATATACTTACCTACATTCGCAATAAACTTGAAAACCCTTGTACATTTCACGTACAGTATAAAAAAGACATTATTTTATTTTCAAATTAAACCCTACAAACATTATCTGAAGCATATTTCCAGGTTAGTGGAAGAGCAATGAGAGCTATTCTTTACATTTTCTTTTAAAGCGATTTTTGCGAGTAATTAATCGTGAATTGTTTAATCCTAATTGATAGCTGCGCTCTTATTAAATTCTGCGCAATAGTAAGTGATAAGTTCCATAAGCTTAAAATGATGTAAAATTAAATCAGTTATATTTGACCATCTAAAAAGTATCACATTGATCTCTACCACGAAGTGATAGGTGAATTCAACATGATATCTACATATGTATGTACTGTTGATAAAAGGCATTTTCCTTAATCACTGATTCAATATGGCTTTGAATGTCTTTTCCAATTCCCCAGGGGGAAACGCACGCAGTACAAACAAGGAACACCTTTATACTGCTTCTGCTTTAAACCCATAGGTATGAGACATATCCAGCAGTTTCAACACGAAACATATCAGCCCGAACAATAAATTTCTTTTAAAACGTTTTATATTTTTATTGAACATATGTACATAAACACATACATATGTATATTTGTAAACAAAGTCGAATATATGTATGAAATATGATAAGATCTCATTAAAAAGGTAATCAGTGCGCCTTAACAGTTCCTTGTGTAAATCATTTAACCCCAATGAGAAGTATGTTTATTTCATTTATCTGTAGTTAAATTTAGATTACTACATATTACTATTTGTATTTTATTCGAACATATTTCTTAAGCCACGTTTTTTCCCATTTCTTTACAGCTAAAAAACAACAAATTAATTGAGATTTTAAAATGTATATTTAGCGTAAGGATATTAACCAACAACCACAATTTCATCATGGCGATAGAAAACAAGGAACAAAGAAGTGTAAAGTGTAAAAACCAAAAACAGTTTTAAAAAAAAACGAACCGAAACGAATGAAAAAAAGTTTATTAAGAGACAACAGCAAAAAGTTTGGAAGTGTAGTTTTGAAGGAAAGTGAAATTAACTTTTAATGAAATACGAAACAAAATTATTGAATTTAATGTTGTTAACTTCAAATTAGAGTAAGCGCGTAATGTGAAGTTGGAACGTATTTCGCGACGCAGATAAAAACAACAAGGCAATACAAATTAGAGTAAATATTGTATCAGCTACACTGACAAAAAATTAGAGCAATGCACCAACAGTTGAGCATAAAAAGAAAACCAGCGCAGCATCATTATTATCAGCTACTGTTGGTGCTGTTGCTGCTGCAGTTGGGGCATGAATCAGCCTCCCACACAGATTGGATGCAAACATGCGGGAACTGTCACTGCCAATGGAATTCGGGGAAAAAGAATGCTGACTGTAAGAACAAGGGCTTTATCAAAATACCAATGGATCTGAGCAATGAACTGCAAGTGGTCGACTTCTCACACAATCAAATACCCGAGTTGCGACGGGAGGAGTTCCTGTCAGCACAACTCCAACATTTACACAAAATCTACTTGCGCAATTGTACTATTCAGGAAATCAGTCGAGATGCGCTTAAGGGTCTCCAGATACTCATCGAGCTGGACATTTCCAATAATCGCATACGCGAACTACATCCTAAGACATTTGCTGGCCTCGAAAAGCTGCGAAACGTTATTGTAAATAACAATGAGATTGAAGTGCTGCAGGATTATCTGTTTGAAGACTTGCCCTATCTATCACGCATTGAATTCAAAAGCAATCGTCTGAAGCAGGTGCAAATGCATGTGTTTAGCGGTCAAATGCCAGTGAGTGTCATCTCACTAGAAGACAATCTATTAACACATTTGCACAAGCGAACTTTTGAGGATCTGAAGAAGCTTATGAATCTCTCTCTGCAAGGGAACATGTGGAACTGTTCATGTGATTTGCAAGAGTTTCGGGACTACACGTTTACAAGACGCTTGTATACACCACCGACCAACTGTCACGATCCGCCGTATTTGCGTGGAAAAATGTGGATGGATGTACCATCCGAGAATTTTGCCTGCCGACCTCGTATATTAGGGTCTGTGCGTTCCTTTGTGGAAGCTAATCATGACAATTTAACACTACCCTGTCGCATTGTCGGCACTCCACGTCCAAATGTCACCTGGATGTTCAATAACCGACCATTAAATCTAAATGACCAGCGGGTACGCGTTTTCACTTCTGTAGAGCAAATGCCCAATTTGTCACAATCGTCCCAGGTGATTACTTCAGAGCTACACATTTTTGGTATAAGAACTTCAGATAAGGGCGCTTATATTTGCGTGGCGGACAATCGTGGAGGTAAAGCTGAGGCCGAATTTCAGCTGCTCGTCAACGACGATTACACTGCACCCGCAGCAGCGCCTGACGGGCTTGGCGGCTTAAGTATTAGTGGTGCCTCCAATGATTCACAAACGAATTTATTACTGATCATCTGTTTAATAGCGACTACTTTATTACTACTCCTCATCGTCACAGTGCTAACTCTATTCTGGTATTGTCGGCGCATCAAGACTTACAAAAAGAACTCCGTCATCATTGCTGATGAACTAATCTCTCCCAAGCCAGATAAGACACATAATAGCTCAATGCTAGAAGGTTCCGTAATTATGGAAATGCAGAAGAGTCTATTAAATGAGATAAACCCCGTGGAAAAGCCTCCCAGGCGCACTGATATCGAGAGCGTCGATGGCGGCGATGACACACAAGAGATAAAAAAGACTCTGCTAGATGAGACGGTTTTTGGTAAGTAAATTGATTAATTTTTCGAAGTATTCCATATCCAAAGCAAACGTGTTTAATTATGTGTGCTTTTGCGAAAACTCAGCAAAGTTTTCGGCGCAATCCGCTGACAGATGGCCTATGTGGCGAGGAGTCCTAAAGAGGCTTTCCCGTACCAGAATAAGCTTAGCATTTTCCACTTGACAGGGAACACTCCATCAATGCTGCTTCGATTAAACATGTTCGTGTATATGAATGCATTTACATACGTATATGTTTATCAAAAATATGTGATGTTAACGCGACTAGGATATCCAAAAATGTTGTCAAAGAGAGTCTTCAGAAAGTATTGTATATGTTTATCAAAAATATGTGATGTTAACGCGACTAGGATATCCAAAAATGTTGTCAAAGAGAGTCTTCAGAAAGTATTGTATTCCGGAATTAATATTTATTTTCACCATCTACTTTTCTTACTATTTGGCGCAGCAAAACATGCCCGACCACAGAATGGTTCACGCCATAGGTTAATTAGATAATTAAAATTTATTAATGTTTTTTATGGCCCCCCAACTATCAGCTTTGTGGCGATATTCTGCGATTTATTTGTGGATGTTCAAGAATGCATCATTTAAGCATCATAAATTCTGGAAAATAAATCTTTTGTATGTCCTCGGAGAAAGAAATAGAATAGAAACAATTTGGTTCGGGGAGGGGACGTTGTCGGCACGACATCCCAAAAAGCTCAGCGAAGAAGTTATTGTCCGTATTGATTCCGCTGTCCATTAATAAGACGGCCCATTTTAGAGCCAGTGACTTCCGATCTCCTTCATCTCCACTTCAGATATTTTAAGGGCGTGTACACCGCGCCCAAAGCACAAATGAATTAGCTTCATTCATCAGGCATTTGGAGTACAGCCGGAAGCAACAGCCAGTGCCATCTTTAAGTAAATGGGCGTCTGCCCTGTCACACAGCTGCAATCGCTTGCTTGGCGCTTTTTTATCAGATCGGCCTTTGAATCAAATTCTGTAATGCTTTTGAAGAAATGTGCAGGTGCTCACAGCAACATAGTTTATGCATTTGGCTTATAATTTCGTGCTAGTGTACGCCATCTGCTACTTAAAAAAGTTGAAAACACAGCTGAGACATCTATGCTCGCAGATTAAAGAAAACAGCCCGTGATTAAGAACCACATTTGCCGACCAAATTTTTTAAAAATAAGATAGTCGAGCAAGCCCGACAGTAAAATAGCCTGTACTCTCCACAAAAAAGAAATTAAAAAAAATTAAATTATTAAAAAAATGAATGAATTAATTAATTAATTAAATTAGAATAAATGTTTATGTTCAGTTTTAACAGCATACATTTACATCACACCTATGCGTGTTTATATGCGTGTATGTATGCAGCACAAAGTTGAACCAAAGCAGTAACAACAACAACAGCTGCGGATAGCGCTTCCGACAGAGCTGCAGACAGCGCATGAGCAGCGATTTTACTTATGACTATTACTTTCTTCAGAATTGACCTATCATGATGAAATTTGGCACACGGACACATTAGTACTAACTGGATGTACCTACCAAAATTTGATTTCAAAATTCCGAGAATTACGGAAGTTATAAGAATTGCGGGGGAGTGGAGGGGTGCATCAGAAAAAAAAACACAAACTCGACCTTTCTCGGACTTAGGAGAACCTGGATACCAAGTTTGGTTATTCTAGCTCTTATACTTTCTGAGATCCTTGCGTTCATACAGACAGACGGACGGACGGACAGACGGACATGGTTATATCGACTCGTCTTCTCATCCTGATCAAGAATATATATACTCTTTGGGGTCTGCCACGCCTCCTTCTGTGTGTTACATACATGCGCACAAAACTAGTATAGCCTTTCACCCTTTGGGTACAGGCTATAAAAATGGTAGGAACGAGGGTGCTCAAATCTCTTTTTAAATTAAAAACTAATTAAATAAAATCAATAAAATCAAAAATAGAGTCGTGCAGTTTTCAAAGAATACATTTTTTATGAATAAAAATAAACATAAACAACTAGTGTTGCCTGGATATTAGAAGAGTCTACATACCAAGTTTAGTGAATTTGGGCTGGACCCTCTCCGAAATCCCGGAATTTCGAACTCCGTACGTTAAGTTTCATCATGATAGGTTAATTATGAAAAAAGTTATAGCCATATACAAGTATGTAATCTCTGCCCAAACTCTGTCCACAGCTGTTGTTCCTGCTTTGACTTAATTCTGTAATGTACACATTAGATACAGAATATTTTAAAGTCTGAGCACCTGAGTTTTAAATTTGTACTTTGACATTTCACATCTAAACTTTGGAAAAAAATGTTGGCCGTACCTGGCTAGGAAGTTACATTTTGCGTTTAAGGCTATTATTCAAACGAAACTTTGTGTAAAGTTTGATTTTCTAAAATATAAACAAAACAAACATTTGATTTGATATACTTTAGCACTATATTTTTACAGCCAATTTAATTTGTGGTTTTTTCACCCTCAGCCAATCATATGCGAGACGACGAAACCCATTCGGTAGCGTTCTCAGACACCACGATGCCACACTCGCGTCAGACATATGTAGATGAAACGTATGGCAGTCTGCCGCCAGATCTGTTGGCATTTCCAGCGCGCGTGCTGCCCACTTCGCCATCAATACAATCATCGCACTCGAACATACCTGATCAGGTTATCTACGGTTTACGATCACCGACACTTACAAGTCCTGTCTATGCGCATATAACACAACATGGCATCTATGGCACGACAGTAGCAGCGACCACACACAATGGATTTATGACGCTGCAACATCCAAAATCGCGTAATCTGGCGCTACTCCCGACAGCTAGTAATCGCCAGCAGCCGCAAATGCCTTCAGTGCTGCAGCAACAGCAGACATCACCATTTGTGCCCGCACCCGTTGTGTACTCACCTGCGGCAGCTGTAGTCATGAAACAAGGATACATGACGATACCACGGAAGCCTCGTGTGCCTAGTTGGACTCCCAGCACATCGGTCGCTGCTGCGCATAATGGCACTCAGCTTAGTGAGTTTCAATCGCTGATATCGCCTAATCCAAGCGAATCGGACGCCGGGGTCTCCATGGAGCTGCAAGCGGAACCGGTATATGACAATTTGGGGTTGCGCACCACAGCAAGCGGCAACTCAACGCTGAATTTACATAAGGTAATGCGGCAGCAACAGCAATATAACATGAGAGATCGACCATTACCGGCCACGCCCAGTTTGACATCGGTTACGTCAACAGCCCCCGCGAACAAAATATACGAACCCATACATGAGTTGATACAGCAGCAAAAGCAACAGCAGCAACAAAGGCTAGCACAGGGCCAGCAGCAACAAGGTTATGGCAGCAACTCGGAAACAGATCCGCTATATAAAAAAACACGTTATCATGATATTACTATATTGCCAGGCGTCGAGATTAGCGGCGTTATGCCACCTACAGGCATGCCCGCCTTAGCTATATCACCAGCATCGTCCTCACATACGGCGTTGAATTCACCGAAAATTTCAAAAACACCACCAAGGCCACCACCGAAACCCAAGAAGAAGATCTCCGTGATGACACGCAACGGTCAAGGAAGCACAAGTCAACTATTTGACGACGAAGGTGAGGATGGTACTGAGGTTTAGCTGTACCACGTTCGCTGCAATAAATTGAAATCGCCTTAAAAAACGAAAACAAACTAAAAATAAAATATAATACAATTTAAATGACATGAGCACCTGCTCAATACCAAGATAACGCACATAATAGCGAAGCCAGACTAGAAGTGTGAACATAAGTTATGAATATCAACTAAAGCAGTAAATGTAATGCCAGCAGCAGCAAGCAATACGCCAGTTGATGGCCATTTCCAAGCAACATAAATATTACTTAACATACTGTTTGGTGCTTTTTGTGGGGAATTGCGGTCTTTCTCTCTCTCTAGTAAGTGTATACTCTCGCCCGTTTACATAAATTTCATGACTTGTGTGCCAAACGACTGATGTATATTTTTTAGTATTAAATTGTTGGGAAATAGATTTTTTAAAAAATTATTAAACAACTGCATCCGAAGTATTGCTGGTTTGAAAGTGACCTTTAAATGCGCAAAATCATAAATAACTAGTATTAGCAGTTAGCTGATTGGCTACACAAGGCGTTTCTAGTACAAAGCAGTGGTCCTTGCCAATAGGAATGCAGAGTAGTTGCGAAACAAGCCGTTAACAAGCTGTTAATATGTATTCCACACATACAATTTAAATCAAATCTACAACTTTTTTACGTAGGCTAGTTAGTTTGGTACAAAAGACATACATACATTAAAACGCATGCTATTGATTAAAATAGCCATTTTTTTAAATTCAAATAAAGTTTATTTAAAAATTACATAATTTGTACATGGCAAATAAATAGGCAACTATCCAGATTTTAAATGAAATTGAAACATACAAAAACTTCGCATTTACCGGCATAGGTCTAGCTGTTAGGCTATTCATTTTAATATGAATGTAACTATAGAAATTGATCATCGATAACATGGTAACTTATACACTTCATTCATTTATTTAATATACAACAAAACATACAATACATTGATTTAAAGCTGCTAAGATTAGATATTCATACATACTTACATATAGCTTATAAATAGATACTAACTCATGCATACATATGTTTGTACATATACATACATACATATACAAACACACATGCATATACATACATACATATAGATATACATATGTCTAATATATGTACATACATATGCGTGTATGTATGTAGATCCTCTCTTACTGGAACGAAAGCAAATTAATTAAATAAATAAAAAACCTACGAAATTGCATTACAGTGCTAATCATTTGCAAATATGTATAAGTACTATATACACAATAAACGAACTAAGAAACTATCTTCGGCTGCGCCGAGGCTATACTTATACCCTACACTGTTTTCTTTAACGTAACATTTTTTTCTCTATGGTCGTGTGCCGCATGTCTTTCCTTCTATGCCAGTACTACGAGGTCCTGTCACTACAAATATTTGTTTATTTACAACAGACAGAGTGACAACGCGATATGCACATATACAAAACAATACATGTGATCTTCCAATCATCTTTCTTGGTGTTACATCTTTTACACCAACAACGAACTAGCAATTATATACAAATGTATTTTCTTATACCCTACACTTTATTGAAAAGACATAAAAAATTGTAACACTTAGAGGGAAAGTAACTTAGTAAATAAATGCTTCCCACTTCGAGTCGAATGTAAATGTTCGCCCAATGTGTGCTAATGACTATTAATCACTACTCGGGTTCAATGTCGTCGCCAATGTGCGCCAGGATGAGATTATGGTAGACGAGTGAAAACTCGACGTACCACTAGGCCAGTGGCTATTTTTACTGTTTTGTTTTGGAAGATCTGTAGCTTTTAAACGTTCGATTTGCTAACTATGAATGACCGAACTTGAAACGTGTAGGTCAAAAAATGTGTTGACAGGTTGACAGATTTTGTAGTACAAACATGGTAGGGAAAGATTGGCGGCAGTAAAGCGATACACACTACATGTGTTTATTTAAGAAAATTTATTTTTGTGTTGGACACAGTTAAGAACAAGAATATTCCTAAGCGGATTTGCCAGCGCTAAACCACTACAAATGTATGCAATTTAAATTCTTATTACGTGTATACTTATGTATTTATTATTAATATTTACTTTGTTTTATCATAAATCTATATTGCATGTAGTCTATTTTTTAAATTAGTTTACACACTTATACATTGTTCTAAAGTGCTTCAACGTCAAAACATTAAAAATGCCACACACTTGCCCCGAAATTCGCAGTACGGAAAGCGCCGCGAAATACATCATTGCATTTGAAAATAAACTAATTTTGAAAACGAACAACATGTATCATTTTGCTTTATACGACTATCTAAGGCGTCTATTTAATGAGGCGTGGCAGACACTACAATCGATTCGTTTGATCCTGCCTCTCCATATGTGTGGAACGCAAGGAGTTCAGAAAGTATAAGAGTTAAAGTCATTGAAATGCAGATGGTTATTTTATATCGAAGAAAAAACAAGCTTGTGCTTTTGCAAATATCGGAATTATATTCCAACCACAAAATGTATTCCTTGTCATGCTCTTCCAGCATCTTTCATTTATTCTATGGTTCATGTGCTTACTGCACATACATATATACGTATATAAACACACACATCCCGCTGCAAATATTTTAAATATATTATGTGCCTACAAATATCAAAAATTATATATACTATTGTATACTTCTTGTTTAATTATTTTTATTGCTTTACATTTTTCAAATAAAAATCGTCTTATTTTTTCAAATTTGTATTTATTGTTTTTACCATACAAATATTTACTTTATTGCCCCTTGGTTCCAGACATTAAACTCTAGGGAGCGGCTTTCCTTGAGCCAAGTTAATACCCTCATATATTACTTTAAACCGGGTGCACAGTAAGTAGACTTGAAGGAGGAATGCCTCACTTAAAAATGTTGAGTCAAAATTGATTTTAAAAAACAAAACCTTGTGCAAGCGCGCCATATTCAGCCATGCGTTGATACGAACATCTAAAGAAATTAATAATATGGGCGGCGTTTCTCCACATTTACAAGCACCTGACGCCATGGAAGGCTTATTTGTATGGCCGCCCTTGCTCCTTAGATTGCCGTCGCTTTCGCATGAAATCCAGAATTGTCAAAAAGACATTCAGTACAAATATCGCAGAAATCCTAAGGTACATACATAAGTACATATGTATAGTACATTTTCCAGAGGTGCTTAGAACTGCTTGAAAGAATCCAAATAGGGTCAAGAACCAAAATAACAAATATCGCAAAGAGCCCTAATGTATGTACTTGTAAATGACGTACGTACCAACTGGTGTCTTCATTTACAAAAATATTGGTCAGGCCTTGCTTAAATATGCTCAACATAGCCAGGAGCCCGCTTTCTTGGAGTCCAGCTAACGTCGTATCTCGACAAATCGGTCTGCAGGTATTACCACATAATAAGTAGGTTACAACTCCCGCACTACTATAATTGCCGAATGAATTTTATTTTAATTATGTTTTACCAAAACACACTGATTTAAATATTTTCTTTTATATATTTAAGCGAATGGCTTTCTACTAAATATTCAATATTTTCCAATATTTTTTTATGATTTTTTTTCGAAATCATCCGAAAAATTCACATTTTAAATTTGGTTATCAGGTTAGCCCACATCATTTATTTTTAATTTGTATAACTGTTTCTAATAATAACTCATTTTTCAACTTATATAATAACTAATTTAAACATTTCTTTATAATTTTAAAAATGAATCGATCCTTTCTTATTGAGAATAATCCCATAGATCCAATTTGGAAGCAATTCGTACAACTTTCCAATCTAACTTTAAGAAAGGGCTGACCAAGCACTTTTAATGCTTTCATTTAATTCCTTTTTGGTAGAATACTGTCTGCCAAAATCGCAAACTTTGCGAACCAGCCATCCCCACACGTTTTCTCTTATATTAATGTCCGGTGAGTAAGGCGGCCTTTTCAATTTGTGCTTCAATCCAAGATTATTGATTAGCCGGGCAGTATGAATAGAAGCATTGTCGTGTTGAAAACATCCAGGGAAATTACCAAGCATATTTTTGGAATAGGGAAAAGCAGTTTTCAGTACTTTTTTTAAGTGTTTGCATTCATATTCGTGTTCCAAAATTGCAACACAGCATTACACCGCCCACACAACTATGAAGTCGTTGCAACTGATGCTCCTCCTTCCGAAGAACATGGAAATAATAGTTTTATCCATTTGGTCCTTCCAAATTACATTTCTTTTCATCCGAGAAGAAAACATAGCTTTAATCAGAATTTGATTTAATCGTGTTTCCTTTCGAGTGGTTTATTCTTTATTTTCAATCTTTTCAAATGTGGAGCATTCCTTATGACCCTTTGAACCGTAGATAAGCTGGCTTCAACACCAACAATTACCCTGATCTTTGCGATCGATCAAGAGATGCTTCTCTAAAAATTGATCTTTTAGCAGCATTTATTATTACCTCATTTATTATTTATACCATATCCCGACTTTTAAAGTAAGACTTTGTATATAACTTTTCGACTTCCGCCGACTTATTTTGGTATTTTAGTTATTGAAAGCTTTAACTCTTCATAAGCTTCGGTTTATGCTATCTCTTCAACCGATAACACTTTTTACCCATACTATATAAGAAAATATATCACTTGAGCAGTAAAAAAACAAGAAAGGAATGCTAAAGTCGAGCAGGCTCAACTCTTAAATACCCTGTACCACCCCACAAAAAAGTAATTTAATTAATTAATTAATTTAATTAACCAAATTAATTTAATTAATTAACTAAATATTAACTAATTAAATATAAAATATTCCATGCATGCATACATACATTTACATCAGAATCTTGCCTTATGCGTATTTGTGTACTTGTACATATGTATGTATGTGTGCATTGGGCCTGGTTATATGGCTCTTTTCTTTTGATCATTCTATCAGAATGAAACTTGGTATACGGATATATAATTACTAACCTAATGTGACTACCAAATTTTAGTTCAAAATTCCAAGAATTACGGGAGTTATAGAAAATCGGTAATAGGGGGGGAGTGGGGGGTTGGATCAGAAAAAATGAACAAACTCGTCCTTTCTCGGTCTCAGGAGAATCTGTATACCAAGTTTGGTTATTCTAGCTCTTATACTTTCGGAGATCCTTGCGTTCATACAGACAGACAGATGGACATGGCTATATCGCCTCGGCTTGTCATGCTGATCAAGAATATATATACTTTGTGGGGTCTACCAAGCCTCCTTCTGTGTGTTGCATGTGCACTCGCACAAAACTAATATACCCTTGTACCCTTTGGGTACAGGGTATACAAAACAATTGCATGTTCTAACCTGATAACGCAAAAAGTAAGCAGCCTTTTCGATTGAAAAGATAAATAATAAACGTATGCATATGTACATACATATGTATGTATGTACATATACATATGCACATTTATATCGGTCGGAAAGCGAAAATCAACGCAAGCACCAAGTTGTTATAGCCTGTACCCAAAGGGTGAAAGGCTATACTAGTTTTGTGCGCATGTAGGTAACACACAGAAGGAGGCGTGGCAGACCCCACAAAGTATATATATTCTTGATCAGGATGAGACAATTTTTTTTTTTTAATTTTTCTTTTTTGTGGAGTGTACAGGCTATTTTACTGTCGGGCTTGCTCGACTGTAGCGTTCTATCTTGTTTTAAATATGACAATTGAAGAAACTTAACTACAATTTAGAAAGAAGAAATGTTTTCCATTTGGCAGTACGGAGGGACATAGTTGCTTATTGGTCCACTTCTGATATTTAGGCTATTTCGCGCTCTTTGTCGCAGTCCAGCTTCTTCTCTCTTCTCATGACTTATTTATGTACATATGTATGGTGATTTTCTGTGCAATAATATAAATACGGAAGAAACCGTGTGAGAGCAGCCGAGAGGTTGATTACTACTATTTCTGTCTTTATCATTTTTATGTTCCGTCTTGTACAGTTCTCTCTCAGTTCCGACCAGAATATAACATCGTAATTAATACGTTGCATAATAGAGACCCTACATCATTCATTTGTTATGCCCAAGTGGTGGCACTGTTCACCGAGCCTTGAGCTAAATAAAAAGCATTTAGGTCTGTCTGACTGTAAAAAAACTGTCGACTGCTTTTTCATCATTGTTTGCGCATCTGAGGCAATAGCTACTACTATCCCTAGTGCTGCACTGGCAGCGCTTCCATCTCCTGTTTTTTTATTCCTTTTTTTTGATGAGGGAAAATTGACGAACATACATATGTACATACATATGTATGTATAACGTTTAACATAGTGAAGACGAGACCATAAATTGCTAGGGATATTTTGAGCTAAAAATGTGCAATTAATAAAATGAAAAATCAAACAAATATTTGATCTTTATGTCCCGAATTTAAAAGTACATATGTATGTATGTATGTACATATATACATATGCATAAAATCTCATAAAAAGTTACATAATTAAGCATTAGAAGCTGGTTGTATTATTTCAAAAAATTTCTTATATTCTTATGCACTTACCATTTCTTTTCGAGATCTGTAGCAAATGTGGATACCGTTATACATATAGCCTATGTGTGTACTTTCATGTTTCTATGTAGCACGTTTGCTTTGGTACCTGATCTGTTTAATATCATAAGAGCAAATGCCTTTACAATAATTAACTTCACAGTTAAAATTGAGCAACAAACCAGAGCGTCTCATTTAAAAACTTGCCCGCAGCAGGTGCTCGCAAGGGGTTCACAGGAGCAGCTTACTTAAACATTTGCTCACGCCTAAATTGTCGAAACAGCGCAGTGGGGGGCACAAAAGCCTATGAGTCTATTGCAATCCTTGTGAAATTTGAACCAAAATAATAGGGCTTATGGCCACTTGTTTTATAGGCAGAGGTGCTTGCTACTGAGCTATGTAAAATGTGGGTTACCAAAATTTGTTTGGGGCGTTTTCGTACTATCTATTCATTCTGCTCACTCCCTTCCGCTTTAGCAGACAGTCACCTATCGCGGATGACATATGTACTATACTATAGTACTTACATATATAGTTTGTATATACATATGTATGGATGTACAAAGTATTCGCACATACATACATACATATGTATATTTGTAAATGTTTTTTCCCAATCATCAATTTATGCAACTGCTTCTGATCTGTCGTTTTATTTTGCGTGATTGTTCTAGAAGCCCGACAACATTCCTGCGATTATCTGTGCATCCTAATTTATATTCTTTTTATTATGCTTATTACGATCCCTCTAAAGTAAATGGAAAAGCTTTAATTTGACTTCAAAATCGAATGTTTATTCTCCTTTTTATTTAATTTAAATCAAAATAAAAAAGATACATAAACCAAATATTTCAGTTACAAAAACAATTTAATAATAGTATTTTGTCGCTTCCTTTCATAGTTTTTGACTTGGCCAATAAAAACTTAAGCGGACATTTCCCCATTATTTGATCCCTACATACAAACATATGTCTGTATGTACATATATGCATGTACTCGTATGTCTGTAAGACATACATATGTATGAGAGTACATATGTCTGCGTGAACACAGTTATGTATGTATGTATGTGTGTTCATGTCTACGAACATACATAAGTACATACATGCTAGACGTTTATTGACAGATGGTGAGTATTGTAGTGATATTTTCGGTAGAACGAGTTCCACTGGTAAAGCAATACTATAAAATACAGATAAACTTTCTACTATGTACATATTATGTACATGCAAATGTAAAATCAGCTTATCTTGTACACACCTAAATGTTGTATTCTAGAATTACTCAAACTGCATTTCAAAAGTAGGTTTGCAAACAAGTTTATAGTCGAATTAAAAAAAGAATTTATTGTCTAAATTATACTGGCGTTATTGTATTAAAATGAAGAATCGCGTTTAATCAATGCACGTATGTATGTATGTAAGTATTAACTGTTGTATGTTTACTATACTTAAATGACTTGTTTATATTAATACTACATTACCACATGCACATACATACATACATATGTATGTATGTAAAAACAATATTGAACTGCGTTATATTTGCCAATTTAGTCGCCTTTTCGCTCACGTTATATATAACCAGGGCCAACATAATTGTTTAACGTATGCATGTAATATATACATATATATATATATATACATACATAAATTCTGTGTCAAACCTTGTGACACGTGAAATATATATATATATAGATATATACATACATACATACGTATAAACGTAATGCGTACATTAATGGAGTATGAGCGTATGCGTACGTGCTTGTTGTTATTTAACTTGTTTGGACGTATATAATAACTATCTACATACATTCGTATTACCCTATTTACAATGCTAATCTGTTCGCTTAGGTGTTTTTCACAGTAACATATTTAAATTTGCCGTTATTATGCAATTAAATAGACTCCGGGAGAGAACTACAATCAATTGAAAAGTCGTGGATAGTAATTTCTGCAAAAAAAACTATCCGTCCATGGATGTTATTAGGGTATTTTAATTAAAACAAGTACCGATCAATTAGCGCAGCAAACAATGAACCGTCTATCTAGATGCACACCGTATCACATTTTAACGTTCATATATGTATGTATGTATGTATTTATGTTTCATGTGTGCTGCTATTTTTGTTTGCCATTTACCCCATTAACTTATTTCTGTTATTATAGGTTTCATTTATTATTATTGTTGTTGCTTATAGACTTATTGCTGCTAGCGCTCTGGCTGTGATTGCTATTGTAAATGTGGTTCTAATTGGTGCTGTTGTTCTAGCAGTCTTCATTTATCCATATTGCCTGGTTCTAAAAAGCTGCGTCTGCCATCCCCGCCGATTCGCTCACATCCAAATGATTAAGTTGCTGCTCTTGCTCCGCACGCAACTTAGCTGCCACCTTTTCTTGCAACTGCGCCTCAAGCTCTTCAACATTGCGGAAGATACGCGCATATTGGAAGCGGTTATGGCATGCCTGCTTATAGGCAGCAGCTTTTGCCTCACACTCTCCAAACACATCGCCGTCCCGCAACGCCATATAGATTTTGATAGCCTCCTAAAAGTACCGCAAAAGGAAAGTATAAATAATTTAAATTACAACAACAGCACAACAATAAACAATAATGGGAATGCTAAACTGCTGGCTGACAAAACTATGTTAAGATCTATTTTATAGATACGATAAATGTATTCGTTCCAAATCGTGGTAATATGAACTTTTGATGTCTTTCAAGTATCGACTGAAATGACGGACATAGCTATATCAAGTCTAAGCATGATGCTGATAAAGCATAAAATACATTTTGTATTTATTTTTGGTCTCTACCGTCAATACCGATATAGCATATAGCTGTAATATCGTTCGTGTAATAGGAAACTGCAGTCAAATTGCAATAATCAATCGATGAAAAGCATAGCGGGTTGATACACCGCGTTTTGTGCGAATACGCACGAAAACCGCAAGTGCGCCACTTGAATAGAACACTTAACACTTAAGAAAATTGTTTTGTTTTTATTAAGACACTTTCTGCACCAAAACTTCACATATCCGGAAGGCAGCATTAAAGCAAATAACATTTCTGCTCCAGCTTGTAAAGGGGTTTGATTCGAGCTCGTTTCATTCGATTTGATTCATCATTGATTCATACATACATTTGCAGAAACCCAAAATACTTCTTAACGCTTCGAGTAAATTAAAAGGAAAGCAACAAGTTTTCAGTCTTAATTGCAAATGCTCACAAACAGGTAAATGACAAAAAGTGTGTCATCACTACTCACCTCAAGTCGCAGCTTACTTAAATCGAAACTTGTTATCAGATTGATAGCAGCATCCTTTTTACTTGCATCAAGCTCGTAGAGTCCACGTGCTCCCTCATATAAATGCAATATAGAAGCATTGTTCTTGGCAATGAATTCGTCGTTTAATTGCTGTGGCGTTTTAGTCCCTATCAGTTCCTGATTCGCTTTATCCAGCACCTGCTGCACATGAGCATTACACCTGCGTTGGTCGCTATCTGCCTTCAATGCTTTCATAAAGCGCACTATACAACTATGCAACTCCGGATGCGCCGAATTTATGGCGCGCGCTCTGCGGATGGACTGCAGCATAAGGAGAGGCTTATTTTTGCGATAATAAACCTCAAAGGCTAGTAAATGCGTTTCGATGCGATCTTTGGCTAGTTGCTGCAACGGCTTTAAAAACTCAATGGCTTTCTCCAGCGGCTCATCCGTGCGTTCAAGTTTCTCTGGTACGAGCTCGTCCAATTGCGGAGCATCAGGATCGGTTTCCTGAGTGGCCTGTTGCTTGGATTTCTGATGCTGTTCACGTTTTACTTGTGCCTGTGCAGCTTGAGCGCTTTCCAATTCAGCTTTCTTTTTTGCTTTGCGCTGTTTGCTGCGCAGTTTCTTTAGCTCTGAAGGTGGAAGGTTTTCTACAAGACAAAGATACTTTAGTTGTGACATTAAAAGGTACACCCAGCGAAATCGTCTGCATCTTAAAACTTCATTTCTATTGTACACATATCCTTTTACGCTATAATAGCATTTGAAAATGGGAACTGTTTTTTATATGATATTATATCATATTTTCCAATAAGATTTCAGGATCGAAAAATACATTATTCTAGCCGATATATCATTATAAGTGATGAGATAATAGGCGATATCAACTGTATATGTATTTTTATTTTCGAGAAGAGTGTTAAAGCCGTACCAGCCCGACTCTTGAATATCCTGTATCCACCCTTTTCCGTGCTACAGCCATTCAATTAAACAAAACTGGTGTACCAATCATTCGAATTACAGCAATATGTAGAGACACAATAGAAACCATATAAATACCAAATTTGATTACAATATCTTTAAAGTTGATTATGGAATAAAAACCTATCCATAAAGCATTATGGCGGCCAATACTTAGGAATCGTAAAAATTAAAAAAATTGTTTAGTTTCCTAAATTTTGAATCAAAGAAGGATATGTTAGTTTTAGTTGCAAACTTTTTTTTCGCTGGATTTACATTAAACTATGTCTATATATGTATTATATGACCTACCTATGTCAATCTCCTCAATGGTTGCTTCCGATTTTAGCGGCTTATCATACAAACGTATGTATACCTCGATGGCACACTTGGCTGCCTTAAAGTAAAATGGGTGGCGTCTTAGTACGTCTTCTAGGCGTAGCAGTCCAACATATGCGCGCAGCGTCATCTTTCGCATGCAATAGGTATGGAAATCAAACTGGTCTTCAATGATTTCGGCAAAGTGACGGTCCACTTCGTGACATTTCTTTAAGGCCTCGCCCCAGCGCCCCATACGTTGATAGGCCAGGGCGCATTCCGTCTGGAACCACATACACTGCATCTCATTTAAATTATCCATAGCGGAGACGCCCTCTCTAGTAAACTTTGCGCAGATTTCCTCGGCTTCTTGGATCATATTGGCACGCAGCATATACTTGGCACACTTTGAGTTGATGTAGCTGCAGAGGAAGCGTAAAATATGCTTGGAAATGTCAATCGATCAATCAAACAGTGTACACCTTTTTAAAACGATATTTTCTTAAATTTCTGTTAATTCTAAAATTATCACTATTTCCAATATTATCAATACAAAAGTACAAAAGCATGGGCTGGTCTCTATTGTTTTGCTATTCATCTAATTATACCCTGTACCCAAAGGGTGAAAGGGTATAGTAGTTTAGTACGAATGCATGTAACACACAGAAGGAGGCGTGGCAGACCCCAAAGAATAATCAAACTTGGTACCCAGATTCTCATATGTCCGAGAAAGGACGATAAATGATTTCTATTACTCCCGCAATTCTTAAATAACTAGTTTATGTATTTAATTGAAAACAATCTAAAAACGATTTGTTTGTGTTACTTTCGCCTTAGTACACAATAAACTCATAGCTATGTCTATACTAATATTATAAAGAGGAAAGATTTGATTGTTTGTATGTTTGTTTGTTTGTTTGAATTGAAAAGGCTTCGAATCTACTGGACCGATTTAATGGATTCTTTCACTGTTGGGAAGCTACACTCTCGACGGTGAGCATGGGCTATATTATACTTGCAAAAAAGAATGGAATCCTTACTAAAACGTCAATGTAATCAAAGGTGTAAAAAAAATTACCTTAAACAAGAGAGAACGCTACAGTCGAGCAAGCCCGACAGTGTAATACCCTGTACCCAGGTAAACTTCCGTCACTGAGTTATATGAGCCCATAGCAGTAGCAAAAATAGGAAGAAGAAGAGCGAACTTGTTGCTGCGGAAGGGGGGGAAAATTCCAAAAAATAAAATAAACTCGAGAATCTGGGAGAATCTGGATGCCAACTTTGGTTATTCTAGCTTTTCTAGTTTCTGAGATCCTTGCGTTCATCCAGACGGACGGACGGACATGTCTAGATCGATTTCTTTCGCCATGCTGATTCAGAATATATATACTTTATGGGGTCGGAGATGCTTCCTTCTGCATGTTACATACATGCACCTAATATACTCTTTTTACCCTACGGGTACAGGGTACAAAAACTCCTGAATAGCATGCTGTCAGTTCATAATCATCCTCGAAACATTGTCACTTTAAATACTAAGGCAATATTATTCAAAAGCCCCAAGCCAAATAAAAAATTACAAATCGATCGACACAGTGATTAATATTGAAGATATTTAAATTCACTAAACCCTTCTGGACTGCTGCCACATGAATTGACGGTAAAATTCGGAATTGCAATCATGCTTTTGAGAAATTAAAGCCTTCCAAGCATGTGCAATGGGACGAGGCTGCTTATTAAGGAGGACAATTTAAGTGTAGCAACTATTATCAACGGCCCAGCAACTGATCAACTATCTCATATAAGGAGGATACCGAGGATCAAATTTGATCATTTATATGGCTTCAATTTCCGGCAGTCCCAAGGCCAAGCCTTCGAATTAGTACGGATCGACATACGAAAGCAATGTTTTACTGTATGTTGAGCTATCACGGGTCGGAGCTCCTGAAAAACAGTTTACTTTACTACCACAAAATAAAACATCAAATATCTTTTACAGAGAACCTATGACTTAATAAAGAACAACAAGAAATATAAAAACAAACAAAAAATTATTAAAATAATAATATCCAAAATACATTTTAGTCCTTAGTAACTCATAGAAAAAAGAAGGGTGTATGTGTGTTAAGTGTGTGTGTATAATGTATAATTTTTCAAATTTTTGTAAAAATACCCGTGCGAAGCAGGGGCAGGACGCTAGTATGTTATAAAGAGACACGTTATTCTGCAGTTAACTTGCCGTGACGCCGTAAATGCATCGTGTAATAGCTAGAATGCACACAATAATAGACAAATACAAACAAATATATACGAAATAAAGCACGCAAATCTATCGTTCGTTTGTGCACACTGTTCGTATGTACATACATACATACGTGATTTATTGTTCTTGCGTTCGTTGGTACCTGTCTGGTACATTTGAAGAATGTAGATTTCAACGCGGGCCCGCTAATTATACCCTGTACCCAAAATGTAAAAGGATATACTAGTTTAGTGTTCATGTAATTCATAGAAAGAGGCGTGGCACAACAAAGTCCATACATATGTATATTCTTGATCAGCATGACAAGGCGAGTCCGTCTGTCTGTATGAACGCATGGATCTCAGGAAGGATAAGAGCTAGAATAACCAAAATTGGTATCCAGTTCTCCTAAGCCCCTAAGTTCCTGTAATTCTTGGAATTTTTAACTCAAACGCACGGATCTCGGAGAGTATAAGAGCTAAAATACGCAAACTTCGTATCCAGATTCTCTTAAATCGGATAGAGCAAACGTTTATTTTCTGATTAGCCCCCACACTCCCCTGCTATTAGCCATTTTCCATACCTTCCCTAATTCGAGAAATTTCCAAACCAAATTTGGCAAGTAAGCTGGGGTGCACTTGTAGTACCATAGTTAATAGCATTTCTTATAATTAACCGATTTGGATAATAAAAATACAAATGTAAATTATGTGTAAATTCTGTAGCGATGAAGGGGATACCAACTTTGGGTATTCCAGGTGTTCTAATTTTTGAGATCCTCACCATCTCTTCATGCTATAAGAATATAAACATATATATACTTTATGGGGTCGGAGGTGCCTCCTTCTGCCTGTTACATACTTTGCAGAAACCTAATATCGCTTTTTACCCTACTGGTACAGGGTACGAAAAGCTGCAATACAAACATTCTGGCAAAATCGATATTCAAGCAAAAGAAAACATCGAATCTTAAAACCTCTGGTTATTCGTTTCGAACATGTTGCTTTATGTATTTTAAACGGAGTATTATGATTTATACAATAAATCGCTTCTACTTTATGGCAATGCCTCGTTCAGCTTGTGCATTACAAGAAATGCAATATAGTACGCATGTATAAAAAAAAAACTTGACCAGCCTAGGTTTTTCGGTTTTTTTTTCGCTAATATCTTCCTCACTTAAGAATCACATTTCTGTGCCTATTTTTATACCCTGTACCCGTAGGGTAAAAAGGGTATATTAGGTTTGTGCAAAGTATGTAACATGCAGAAGGAAGCATCTCCGACCCCATAAAGTATATATATTCTGAATCAGCATGACGAGAGAAATCGATCTAGACATGTCCGTCCGTCCGTCTGGACGAACGCAAGGATCTCAGAAACTATAAAAGCTAGAATAACCAAAGTTGACATCCAGATTCTCCTAGGTCCGAGAAAGGACGAGTTTATTTTATTTTTTGGAATTTGGTCAATTCTAAGAAAAGTTATTAGCGAAACAAATTCTCGCCAGTACAACCCCCCCAAACTGCAGCAACAAGTTCGCTCTTCTTCTTCCTCTTTTTGCTGCTGCTATGGGCTCATATAACTCAGTGACGGAAGTTTACCTGGGTACAGGGTATTACACTGTCGGGCTTGCTCGACTGTAGCGTTCTCTCTTGTTCGTACTAAATGTATCCAAATGATATGTACATTACACTGTGTACGTGGAGTTGTGTGTTATTGCTTTGGATATTTTTAATAATACAAATTTTAATATTAGAAATACAAAATAAAATGTTTAGCTAGTAAGAAATTGTAAGGAGAAAAGAACCTATTTAATGATAACTGAGCAGCATTTTTCAAAGTAATTACAATAATAACATTGCACTTCATACTACTCACCGGTCTGCTGTGTCCATGCTTTGAGCCTCATCAAGCCAAATGTAGGCCTCCACAGCATCGCCAGCATGCTTAAAAATGCGGCCCTTAGTTATGAGCAGTTCAATAAGTGTAGGTGTGTGATCGATTGCCACATTGATACATTCAAGAGCACGATCTGTGTCACGCATGTAGTCATAATGTTGGGCCAAAAATAATGCCGTCCACACCAGCGCCGAGGCCGGCTCGACAGGTGCACCGGCATCAGCATCCTCGCGTGAAAAATGGCCGGAGCGCGTCAGATTCTCAAAATACTGCAGCGCAAGAGCTTCGATAGTCTTTGCTTTGTCCACCTGCTGATGCAGAGCGCGTACATTTACAAAAAGCGGAGGAATTCCCTTTCGCAAGCCACGGCGTAGGTACTCATCAGTCACTTCACGAAAAGCGTCACCAGTGGCAATGTTTAGTGGCAGTCGACGCGGACATAGGGCACGCGGGTATTTAGCCTGGAACTCCCGGAATAAAGCGACCTTTTCGCTGGCCTCACTCACTTGACGCGCGATCAGATATTGCTCGTAGTATAGAACATTCTCTGGGTTACGACGGATGAGTGCATCGAATATAGGCACCGCCTTTTCTGGCTGCTGTAGCTTTATGTACAAATCTCCCATTGTTTCGCGTACGGCCAATTTATCAACAATTTGCGATTCATACTTCTTCAGATGCTCAAGCGCCTGTTGTAGATGCGAAGATTCAATAAGTATCTGACTCTGGTAGAGCAACAATTCCGAATGACGATAGTCGTGTGCCTCCTTCAACCCAGAATTAATCAAATAAACATTATATTAAATTATATATAGTAGGTATACTTACATAAGTATACAAAAGATTTAAAGTATTACAACTTTACTCACAATTGAAGTCTGCGACTGACTAAACGTCTCTAGTATGTTGTTAGCCATTTCATAGTCTCCTAAGAGATGATAGCTCATTGCAAATCCAATCCAAGAGGCGTGCTGCGATGGGCGCAACGTGAAAAGGTGATGGCGGGTCTCCTTATACCCTTCCAAATCACGCATTTGTATTTGCAGCAACGACAAATCCTTTAATATTTGCAGATTGTCCTTCTCCCATTTGAGGGCATTGCGATAGCACTTGATAGCCTCATCGTACTTTTTGTCGCTGCGCTGTAGTAGTCCATACACATGCCAGCAGACATGGGAGCGCAGATCGTTTCGGAGCCCTAAGCGCACATACTTATAGGCCTCTTCACGTCGACCCAAACCATTAAGCGTTAGACCTTTCATAGCGAGTGTTTCTCCATGTTCCGTGTACTTGGGATTTGCAAGTATTTGCTTGGCCAGCTTCAAGCCATTTTTGTATTGCTTCATTTCATAGCATTTCTATGAGGGGTGAGGAACGGGGGCGGGGAGGGGGGAGTCGACGCATGTTGAGTTGATTAAATATGAAAGTATGTATGTAGATTATATAAAAAACCGTCGAAGCCCGCACCCTGTGCATGCTTATTGAATGAAACCTTAAACATTGAGGTTATGCGACAAGAACAAAACGCCCAAAAGTTAACTCATATGTATGTAGATGTGCTAATGTACATATATGGATACATAAATATATATGTATGTATTACATATATACATAAACATTTTGTCTAAGTTTGATACTGTACTGAGCCCAATGCTTACAGTCAAGTATTTCCAATAAAACCAACAACAGTAATAGCAACAATCTAGTCTAAATTTACATTGTATTAACTACAAATATAGGCGCACCAAAAAAAAAAAAGCACATGATAAGAGTGTGTGTGCGCCAGAGACGCCGGCAATATTTATGTGTTTTCGTAAAGGATGAAAAGCATAGCACAGAGACGGGAGTTACGATTGAAGATTGTATTTACCAAAATTTTGCGGAATAGAGCACCCTCCTTGGGCGCAAGTGGATCACTTGAGGGCATCCTTAACTATATGCTATAGTTGGTAATTTTACCAATCCTTCTGCTACTGCCACTGACAGATATAAACAACTTCCGCTATACACCCGTTTACCGGAAACGTTTGATAAAAACTTGCTCAATTTAAAAATATGCGAACAATTAGTCCTAGAATACACGAAACAAACAGCAAATATAAATTATTATCGGAAGAACACACCAGACCACGAGCAAAAATTCGACCTTATAAAAACCGTGAGAAGAGGAAGCACTGCCAATCATGTATATAACCACAGTGAATGGCAATCACGGCGCACAGCTGTTTGTTACAAATCCACACAAGTTGATAATGCTTGTATGACAAGTAATTAATTGGACAATCTCCACACAAGCTAATGTCACTGGTGTAAGAGAGAGGTCAATAGCGTTCAAAATGATAGGGAATTAACTAATGCAACTCACGTCGAATAGCGATAGTTTTCAAGTTTTTAAAATTGGTATGTATGTAGGTTTGTTGTGTATATCGAAAGTCGGCAGCTGTTAACAAGAACCGAAGAATTGGCAGTGACAGAGTTTAACTGCTAAATACCAGAAACTTGAAAGCATTTATTTTAAAATGTATATCTGCAGGAACAAAAAACACAAAGCAGGATCCCAATTGTATCAGAAATTTGAGATATGAGTATATAATACATGAGCATGTATGTATGTATTATAGTCATTTAAACGTATTTTGTCATTTTACAATTTTTTTTATTTAGTCTCAATTCGACTACAATCTATGTACATATGTATATAGTCGACGAACTACCATACTACCTTGCTTCACGAGCTATCGATGAACTATCATCACGATGTCATTTTGCAACTAGTATACGCTTTTACCCTTTGGGTGCAGGGTATAAATAATAAAATATGGAAAACAGTGTTCATACTATAATATTATTATTAATATTAATTAAAAAAGAAAGGAATGATAGAATCGAACAGGCTTAACTCTTAAATAACTTTTATCCCCTCCCACAAAAAGAACAAATTTATATATTTTAAAAGCTGATTTAAAAAAATTAAATTAATTGAATAAATAAATATAATTAAAAGTATTCAATGCGTACAAACATAAGTAGGGACATACATATGTATGTATGTTTATGTTCAGTTTCGTCAACATATATACATATGTATGTACATATGTACATTTACAGATCATGGGCAGGGACAACACTTATGGCTATAATTGTCCCTGCTTTTGTCATAGGGAATAATGACAAAATTTATGTACATATGTATATTTACTTAAGCAGTAAGCCAAGACGAACCCTCAGAGTACAGTTTTGGGGTAAGAAAACATCCCTAAAAAATATTTTCAGGCAAAATTACAACTCATTACTCAAAACTTTTGAGTCAAAAGTAATCATTATATTGTAAGAGAATGAATAAATTTAAAAAAAAATCTATTTTTTGTAATATTAATATCACTTATAATTATTACAGTCCCTGAAAAAAGGCCGTTCTTGCTATATTTCTAAATATGTATGGAATTTCTAAAATATATTTTCTTATATGCTTACATGCACCGTAAAAAATCCTTAGCTCGAGCGCAACAGAAACCTTTTTATTTAAGTCCAAACGAATACCTTCAGTTAATTTAGTAGTATTTATATTACGAAAGCATTAACATGTACCATGGGCGAACATATTTATCGATATTGCTGTTTGCTGCTTTTGCTTATTGCTTTTGCTGTTTAACTATACATAAGGCATTGTGCGGGACAGTGCCGCAGTTGTTGTCCCGCATGGAAAAATCGAAAATGTTTACATAAATTATAAAAATTAAGAGAATTAAAAAAAAATTTGATGGATTTTACCTCTCTTGTTATTCGAACTTACGTAAAGGTTGTATATAATTGCACATTTACTAGCAATTGCGTCTATGTGAGTGTATGTGTGCAGTCAACCAAAGCATCAGCATCAACAACAGCTGCGGGCAGCGCGTTTGCAGCAAATATATTTATGGCTATAACTTCCTGCTAAATCGGTCTAACATAGTGAAACTTGGCATACGGACGCATAATCACTAATTGGGGGCATTTGCAAAATTTTAGTTCGAAGTTCCAAGAATTACGGGAGTTACGATTTGCGGGGTAGAGGGGGGAGGGAGGGAAATTCCAAAAAATACATTTTCTGCGTATTCACATAAGGCATTGTGGACTAAAATTTGGTGCCCCTAGGTCTTATAGTTTCCGAGATATAGGCAATTATACGAATGGAAAATCGGGAAAACCTCCATAGGGGGAAGTAAGGGGAAAATCAAAAAAATAAAACAAACTTGCACAGCGTACACACATAACGCATCTTTGTGCAAAGTTTGGTGTCTCTATCTCTTATAGTCTCTGAGATCCAGGTGTTCATACGGGCAGACAGACAGACAGGTCTGCCACGCCTCCTTCTGCCTGTTACATTTTCAGCTCCCACAAACCTAATATACTCTTGTACATTTTATGTACAGAGTATAAACATTTTGATCGAAAATAAACTTTGTAAAGAACTTCGCTCACTGAGTTCGGCAGACCCCGGAGGTTTATATAGTCTTGATCAGTATGACATGACGAGTCTATATAGCCATTGTCCGTCTGTCTGTATGAACGCAAGGATCTCAGAAAGTATAAGATCTAGAATAACCAAACTTGGTATTCAGATTCTCCTAATTCCGATAAACGAAAAGTTTTTTCTGATTAACCCCCCCCCCCCCCCCCACTCTCTAGCCTTTAGCGATTTTAAATATCTTCCCTAATTCAGGGAATTTTCAACTCAAATTTGGCAAGTACTTCCCGTTAGTGCTCATTTGTCAATGTTATGTTCTGCCCGCAACTATTGTTGTTGTTACTTTGGCTCAACTTTGTACTGCATATACGCAGAATATTGAGGTAAAAAAAATTTAGTATTTTAAGACTATGTACAAGTTATGTATTTTTGATTTTATTATATTATTTAATTAAATTCTTTTTTTTTTTAATGTTTTTCTTTTGTGAGAGTGTGTTTTTCCTAAAGCCTTTACCCCTATTTTGAAAACCACCTAAATTAGTGTTTAGCATTTATTTATTTAGGTGACACCCTGTCTCTTTGTGGCAGTTACGTGAGCTCGAAACAAAAATTATCCACTCCCATCTCTATAGTAAAAACAATATGTACATGTATCGAAGACATCGATTCGCAGTGTGCATATTTTGCCAGGTGACTCGTGCCGTAAACAATGAACTCGTTGGCCAAAGTTAGTAGCTTTGTGTTCCAGTCTGTACAAATTTCTGGATGTGGTGTAAGTTTAACGTGTATTCATGTGTTGACTGTATTTAATTAAGTTGTTTGTAGCTTCAACAAATACGTACAAAGTATGCCGACTGGAAGATGATACGTGACGTTAAACGTCGTAAGTGCGTGGAAAAATTTGCCAAGGAACGTTTGCAAATCAATTCAATACGCAAAAACGATATTCTTCCTCATGAACTACGACAGCTGGCCGATGTAGATATTGCAGCATTTCCTCGGGACTCTTCCTTGGTACGTGTTCGTGAACGTTGTGCACTTACGTCACGACCTCGGGGCGTCGTTCACAAATATCGGCTTAGCAGAATCGTGTGGCGGCACTTAGCAGATTACAATAAGCTATCTGGAGTTCAAAGAGCCATGTGGTAGCCTGAGTAACCAGAACTCTTAGGCTTACTAACTTATTTGTTACAAAATAAATCGGGGCTTGCTAGTAGCCGTATAGCTATGTATGTAAACTATGAATTCAAGCAGTCGCGAAATATGTAAAAGTTTTATTGAGGAAGCTGTCAGGTGCAAGCGAAAGGTGGAAAGCATTGGGTCAATGTAGGTTTAAGGCAGATTCCAGCAGGGCGGCGCAAGGATTCGGCGACAATTTGTTCTTTTTCAAGACACATATCTACATATATGCAGTTTCTTGAAGAACTTTGCTGATGGCAGGAAGTGTTTTCCAATTGATCTTTTTGTATAAAAACGTTTAAATGTAAATTTACAAATATGTTCTTTATTGTAATAAAATTACGTTGCCTGGACGCCGCCGTTCTCCAATTAGAATTACACAGCTGCATATTTTGTAATCGAATACATTTAAGATTGCTTTGGGCCGATATTAATATGTACATATATAAGATGTACATCAACATCGATGTTTTTCCTTCGACTTGCATCCCTAATATAAATTCAAAATAAACATCGATTTCTTGCACACATTTGATTAATGTTCTTTATTTACATATTTGAATTTCTTATTTTGTTAAGTAAAATGATTTGGGATCAAACAAGACCTTTTGTTATTTATATACCTGAAAAGATAAACTAATTGCTAGACAAACTAAACCAATAAAAATCTTCAAATGGCATATAGCACGTCCATATTTACTTACATCACTAGACCGGACCGACCAACTTCATTGTTTATTTCTCGCTTTGAATTAGATTTTAGAGCGGTGAAAAGTGATGTTTGGCTATTATCTTATAATTGCTCTTATCAGTGCGTTAGGAACTTTTAAATATTTAAGAAATGGATCAAAATTCAAACCGAAGTCGGAAGTCTCTCAATATGTTGGATTTTAGCTTCCTGGATTACAAAGCATCACTCAGTGCCGTGCTCCGAACTAAAAAACGTCAACTAAGTTTCGTAGAGGATGTTGTGGATTTTTGGCAATATGTTAACCAATACGAGCGCAAAAAGCGCAGTTTAGGTCAGGCTGTGATTCCAATATTCCTATTAGATACAAAACACACTGAACCGAAGCCATATAGCACATGCAAGCACTTTTCCATTCAGCTGGATACTGATATGTTACGTTCGGATGAAAGTGGGACACTTAGTTTACAGATGGTGGCAGAATTTCAAAACCTCCTGCTTACCTACCTAGACTTCAAGCAAAAGGAGAAGTTCAATAAAATTAAAAAGCTACGCCACTCACAACGTGCGTTGCCCATATATCGGTTCAAATGCAATTTACGTCAATCTCTTGAAGATTCACGTGTCCTCATCGTAGCTGGCGACACCGGCTGTGGTAAATCTACGCAGGTACCACAATACCTGTATGAATTTGGCTATCGCAGCATAGGCAAGTAAATACATTGGATTTCACGGTTTTATAGCAATTTATATCAGTTGAATCTTTTGACAGCCTGCTCACAACCACGTCGTCTGGCGTGCGTCTCGCTGTCAAAGCGTGTGGCGCATGAGCTGCTCGACGACTACGGAAACAAGGTCGGCTTTCAGATACGATTTGAACGCAATAGAACCAAAAACACGCACATTGTGTTTATTACTGAGGGTCTGTTGTTGCGCCAGCTAGCTGTGTCGGACAATCTTGACATGTATGATGCGCTAATTTTAGACGAGATACACGAACGTAATATGTTCGGCGACATTTTGCTAGGTGTTGCAAAGTGTCTATTACGAGCCAGTCCGAAACTAAAGCTTATACTTATGTCGGCGACTATTAACGTGAAATTGTTCCTCGACTATTTTAAGGAGGAGGGAGCACATCTATTACAGGTGCCTGGGAGATTGTTTCCTATTAAATTAGTCTATATGCCTCCGCCGGCACTGGAAGCTCCAAACATTGCGGGGAGCAGTAAGCATATGCACCGTGGCTTACGAATTGACCCGTCGCAGTTTCTACAGGCACTGAAAAAAATTGATCAGCAGTATCCCCGTAGGTATTAATTAAATACCAAAATGTCCAAAAATTTTTAAATTTTATTGTAGTGACCGAGCGTGGTGATGCATTAATATTTGTAAGCGGAGTCAATGAAATAACTAGCGTTTCCGAAGCTATTATGGAATATGCCACGGAAAACGCGCATTGGATTCTTTTACCGCTACATAGTGGCCTTGCACTCGCCGAACAAGACAAAGTTTTCGATTATGCGCCCGAGGGTAAACGCAAATGTATTGTGTCCACAAATATTGCTGAAACATCGCTTACAGTGGATGGTGTGCGTTTTGTTATCGACTCAGGTAAATTTAAAGAAATGAGCTACGATGCCACGTGTAAAGCGCACCATCTGAAGGAGTTCTGGGTTTCTAAGTCTTCCGCAGAACAGCGCAAAGGTCGTGCCGGACGCACGGGACCAGGCGTAAGTTGACGAAATTTAAATTATGCCGGCGCTTCAACTTTCATTGAAACCTATACTTGTTTATCTTTCAAGGTTTGCTTCCGGCTCTACACTCAACAGCAGTATGATAGTTTTGAAACATATCCTGCACCTGAAATATTTCGCGTGCCACTAGACACTATACTTTTACAAATGATATCCATGGGACTGCCAAATGTGCGCAACTTCCCATTTATTGAGGCCCCTGACCCAGAGTGTATTGAGCAGACAGTTTTAGGGCTGAAATATCATGTAAGTGAATTTTCTTTGATATAACTTTTCCACGGATCTTATATTTTCATCCTCATGGAAGGGAGCACTGGAAGTGGACGAGAAAATCACACCGCTGGGCACCTCACTGTCCAATCTACCCGTGGAACTATCGATTGGCAAAATGTTGCTCATGGGCTGTGTCTTCCCGGATGTAGAGCAGATTCTTACATTAGCCTCTCTATTAAGCGTGCAGAGTCCGTTTACAAATCGTGCTTTTACTGATCACAAGTGCGAACTCTATCGCCAGGCCCTAGAATCAGACCAGGGTGATCTGTTCATCCTGCTAAAGGCTTACCACGAGTGGCTCCAGCTCAAAATCGGACGACAGAATACCCGCAAATGGTGCCATCAACTAGGCATTGAAGAGCAGCGGTTCTATGAAATTAGCCAATTGCGCCAGCAATTCCAGACCATTCTTGAGAACTGCGGAATGAGACCGAAGAGTAACACTGAGACATTAAGCAGCTCAGAACGTGCATGTCGGCATGGAGAACTGCGCCAGCTGAAGGCTCTGAAACGCAAACACAAATTTGAGCAGCCGCATAAGCAACATGGTGCACTAAAAAAAAATAACTTCGGGGATGATAACAATTTTGAAGATATACGTGACGTGAACTTTCGGCTGCGGCATAATGGCCGGCAATTGGACATTTTAGCGCGATCGGCGCAAGTGCAACTAAGACGCGACTTTTTCCTGTTAAAACTACTCTTCGTCAGCGGTTTCTATCCACAGTTTGCCATTGCCGATGAATTTAACTCTTTGAAGGGCGCCAGTGAGCAATTCTTTCATACAAAATTGAAGTCATTTGTAAGTATGCACCCAAATGCGTACTTTTTCAAAGGCTTTGAGGTGCTCAAGATAATGGAAACTGACATACAACCGAAGCCCAACTACTACTCTTCCAAACAGGCGCTAAGCGGAAGGCATCAGTTGCTTTGCTATCAGTGAGTATGCATTTGTATGTACATAGTTCATAAGTTGAATGGAGCAATTAATGCTAAATTATGAAGTATGAAAAAAGTAGTGGATGCTCACAGCGTCGTCGTGCCCGTTTTAAATCAAGGCTGCTTTAAATTTGATGAAATTAGGATCATCATGTTTTCTCTAGAAAATATGTTGCTAATTAAGTTTTAGTTAAGTAAGAAACTATTAAACTTGCAGCCAGATATATAATATATATTTAATTATTTTATATTCATAGTCGCAATTCCTAGAACTTAGGTTGTTGCCATTTAGCTATTATACCATGCAGTATAAGAACTAAGGGAGTTGTGAGTCATCGTTGATTTAAGTCGATGGTATGTTTTTAAAAAGGTCAAGCATTTGATGATGACGTGAATAATTTTAAGGACAAAGACGTAGGACCAGAGGTGGAAGTTGCCTGATGCGTTGTAAAGTGTAGGACGTTGTAATAATGTAACTAATGTTTTTTATGAGAACGTCCCCCACCTGGACTATTCATTTCATTTTACGACTACGATAGTGCAGATGATGTGCCTTTATCGATTCGACTGAGAAGTAATAGAGGTGTTGACATTGGCTTGGGGTTCGGTTGTAAAAATCATTGAACATTCCGCGAGACAAGGTTTGACGATATGGTAATAATATAATCATTTTTTGTAGATCTCTGCTGGAAATTGCCAAACCCTACTTAGTGAACTGCGTTCGCCTGCCGGCCGCACACACTCTACTTCTCTTTAGTTATGCAATTGATACAAATATAAACGTATCCCGGGTGGTTTGCGATTCATGGGTTTGTCTGGAATTTCCTCTTCCTGATAGTGGTTTGGAAATACTGTGCCGTGCAATCAGGCTACGACGTCGCTGGAACTCTCTTTTGCATGAGAAGCTTAATGGTATACATGCTTTTAACTGCCCGTGTATCTATCCGTTATTTCATGTTTCCTTTCTTTTCACAGATCTTAACACCAGTAGCGATCAATCTTCCAATAATACTTCAATTGATGGTGCTCTCTGGCACGACTTAGTGGACTTTATGAGTCTTGAAGTAGCGTACACTATTAGTCGTTTGTTGCCGGCTGACCTTAAAACACTCTATACGAATGCACCATTACCTCAATTCGAGGCATTGACTACAAATCCATTTGCTCCCGCCTACACGATAACCAATAACGATGAAAAAGGCGGTGTGAACGTGTGCGAACATGTCGTTTTTGGGTGCCTGGCAGAACAGCAATGGACACTAGCCATGAACGCAATGCTTCAGGAACACGGGTGGAAATGTTCGAAATGTGCTTACGAGTTAATGCAATATGATATGTTGGACCAACTCCAGCATCGGGGACAGTGCCAACGCAGCTGCTCATAGACTATAAATACAAGCATCACTCCGTCCGTTAATGGCATGACAGCGAAAAAGATACGCACACAAGTCGAACTTTTTTCATGTCAATAGCAATAGTGCATTAACTAAAATCATTATTTGAAAGTTACGAAATGACACAGATTTGTTGGGTGAATTTTTTTATGTTTTATGTGCTACCTTTAATCTGCTTATTTTTACATTCCTGCTGCTCATAAGTTTTTCCTATGCATGAGTAACGTGAGGAAAAAAAAAAGCAACACCTAAGCGGTAAGTTAATTTGCTCTTCACCTTTTGCAAGCAATCAATTTGCAAAACATATATATATATATATATTTAAGTAAGTTAAGTAATAATATATATTGTATATGTATGAAAGTTAACGCACATAAGGCCGGAAATGATGATAATACCATTAAACCACCCTTTATGCATTGCGAAAAGCAAAAGCTGACGCTTACATACGGGCTGTGAGTGACCGTTCTGCTAACGCCGTTGTCGCGGGCCCGAGGCTTTGTTCGATTGCTATTTTTTATGTTTAGTTTAGTTTTAAATCAGAAACTCAATCACTCAAACGACCGAAGAGAAAAGCCCACTCCCACAAAAACCAAAAAAAAATTTAATAATTGAATAAACTAATTCAATAAAAAATAAATAAAAAAATACATTCAATAAGTGGACACATATGTTTATGTACAGTTTTAACAGCATATATTTACATCACAATCGTGTCTCTGCGTGCATGTATGCAGTTTAAAGTTGAACCAAAGCAGCAACAACAGTGGCTATAACTTTCTTCATAAACGATCTATCATAATGAAACTCAACATACGGGCACATAATCACTATCTGGATGTAAGTACCAAAGTTCGAAATTCCAAAAACAACGGGAGTTATAGAAAATCAGTTTAGGAGGGGGAGTGAGGGGGTTCATCAAAAACAAACTCAAACGTACTTTCTCGGACTTGGGAAAATCTGAATACCAAGTTTAGTTGTTCTAGCTCTTATACTTTCTGAGATCTTTGCGTTCATACGGACGGACATGGCTATATCGACTCGTCATCCTGATCACGAATATACATATATACGTTGTGGGTCTGCCACGCCTCCTTCTCCCTGTTACGTACATTCGCACGAAATTAGTATACGCTTTTACCCTTTGGGTACAGGGTATAAAAAATTCTGTTTACATCGGAATGCCGCATGTATTTACAAGGTTTTTCTTTTTTCGATTGATATTTTAGCTTTGCACCAACTTTGAAACAGGGACTGTACGTTAAAATTTTCGATAGTAGAAAGTGATTTTGATTGGATTTGCATTTTGTTTAAAGAAAACATTTGTTTTCGAGTCATTTCAGTGCCATTGAATCATTCAATTCAAGGATATCATCCCTTGGAACTGAATTCAAGTTAAATAAATTTACTTATCTGTGAAGTTTTGGCCATTTCGTTGTCCAAATCGATTTCTAACAATGTTATCGCTTTCTGAAACAGGCTTACTTATCATTTCGCAGCATTCCAATTCAAATTTTTATTTGTTAAAAAATATTCGATAGTCGAAATCGCTGGAAAAAAAATCGGTAATATCGGGTGCTATGAATCGAAACATTGGCTTTGTTGAAAATACGATGTTTTTACAACCCTACTGTGTTGTGGTGTTCCAATTTTTACGTAATTATTGTATAGCAGCTAAAAGGACAGAATAGCTTAAAAATGTCGGGACTAAGCCATATTATGCGGCAGCGGCCGTTCGCGCTGCAAATGTAAGGTGATGTTGCTATAGTCCTTGCCTCATTTCTACAAAATCCGTTTTCCATATAGGTCTGCCAGCAAGGTTGCTAACGTATTGGTAGCACGTTGGGCATCAAGCCAAGACATTGCTCCCATGGATCTGAAATCAATTCTAGCTCGTCCTGAGGAGGTGGAACAACGTAACAAACTGAGTGGTAAAATTACCGTACCGAAAGCGGTCAATCTTAGTCCAATATCGGGTGTGCCCTCAGATCATATACGAGAGCGCCGAGTACGCATACACATACCGCCAAAAAATGCCATGCAAAGTGGAACCGACAACTTGCAAACATGGCAAATAGAATTTGATAATCGTGAGCGTTGGGAAAATCCACTTATGGGTTGGACCTCAACGTAAGTATTGAGTATTTGTTTGGTTCAATAATATACACACGGTACTTTGCACAGTGGTGACCCATTGTCCAACATGAATGTGCAATTTGGCTCTAAAGACGAAGCAATTACTTATTGTGAACGCAACGGATGGCGTTGGTATGTGGACAGTGAGCAGACTAAAAAAGAACGTGTCAAGAATTACGGTGTTAACTTCTCATGGAACAAACGCACGCGCGTCTCTACCAAGTAGATGAACAGTAATCTGTTGTAATGCGTTATATTTAAATAAAAATGTTTTTTTTTCGTCAGTAAAACACTTGTGTAAACCTTTTTAAATTGCTTTCAAGCCAACAACAACGATGACGGTGAATTCACTACTATATTTTTAATAATTCTGTACTTATGCAGGCCCATCTTGAACGTTCACCATTCCCACTACCTTATTAAATGTAAATCCATACCAATAAATAAATATGAATAATATGAATAAAGGTACAATGAACACAAACCCAATTAAAACGGGTGGTACGAAAATTTCGCCAATGGTAAGCTTACATGGTAAGTACATATGTTTGTACAGTTTATTAATATTAGTTGAGGGAAATACTTATGTACATACATGTTACCAAATGTCTATTCTATCATTATTACAATCAAAAAATACAAGCGAAAATGTTCAGCTCCAAAATAACACAGTACATGCCATAATTAGACATGCTGCTCCAACCCATGGTGATTTCCTTTCGCCGATGCGTGCTAGCTTCCAAAATGTGCCCAAAACACTGCAAAAAGTCATTTAAATATGCAATGTTTTAATACTATTTCGTTGTTGTGCCATACCCAGTTTTGTTGCGATCAATGATGCTAGGAAAAAGCGACCTTAGATAAGCGCAGGTACAAATAAGCAACAATATTACTGAGAGAAGGCTTTGAAAGTTGAAAAGCGCACTCTACGGAATTAAATCAATAGCTTTAATTATAAAGACACCCTAAATAAGCTTCAATGTTTTATACCATTTTGATTTATATTTTTATACTTTATAAAGCAAAATATCAACAATCTAAATAACAGCCCCGTAAAAATACAAGCCCCGTTTACAATTGGACAGATGTTACTGCTGTAATCGATTAATCGATTTTTATATAAAGTTTCGATACTATCGCAGTGTTTGTTTTGATATGTTATCAGTGCGGTATTTTTAACCTGAGACAAGTGTTTGTGTTCCGTTTAAATAAGAAGGCGCATTGAATATACGATTGATGTACCTTTCAAATTAATAGACGGACATGACTATATCGACTCATCTTGTCATATTCTTGCTTATATTCATGATTTTAAGTGTTAACAAAGATAAGGAAAAAAATATATGGTGAAAAATAAAGTAAAGCTGGTAAAGCTAGAAAAAGGCTAAATAATTTTTGTTCAAGCTAGAATTCCCGCAACTCGCTATTTTCGAATTTTTCCCGCACTGGCATTAAAAAAAAAGCCAGAAGCGGGGAAAAAGCTAAAATGACAGCACTGAGCCTAAGGACTAGGAGCGTCTACATACCAAATTATCCTGTACCCGTAGGGAAAAGGGGTGTACATATTCGATTTCTGCAAAGTATATAACAGGCAGAAGGAAGCATCTTATACCACATAAAGTATTACATATATACAAGTATATTCTTAATCAGCGATCTAGCCCTGCCTGTCTGTCTGTCCGTCCGTATGAACACCTGGATCTCAGAGACTGTAAGAGATAGAGACACCAACTTTTCCATAAAGACGCCTTATGTGTGTATTCTATACGAGTTTGTTTTATTTTTTTGATTTTCCCCCCACTTCACCCCTATGGGGGTTTTCCCGATTTTCCATTCGTATAATCGCCTATATCTCGGAGACTATAAGACATAAGAACACCAAATTTTAGTCCAAGATGCCTTGTGTGAGTACGCATTTTGGAATTTCCCTCTCCCCTGCAAATTGCGATTTTCTCTAACTCCCGTAATTCTTGAAATTTTGCAAATACCCCCAGTTAGTTGTTATGTGTCCGTATGCCAAGTTTCACTATGATAGACCGATTTTACAAGAAGTTATAACCATAAATATATTTGCTCAGCAGCGCTGCCCAAGCGCTGTCCGCGGCTGTTGTTGATGTTGCTGTTTGGTTGACTGCTAACATGTTTACACAGACACGAATAGATGCGCATAGGCATTCATACACTCACACAGATGCAATTCCTATGTAAATGTGCAATTATAGACCCTTTACGTGAGTTCGAATACCGAAAGAGGTAAAATCGATCCAAATTTTTTTATAGCCTGTACCCAAAGGGTGAAGGGCTATACTAGTTTTGTGCGCATGTATGTAACACACAGAAGGAGGCGTGGCAGACCCCACATAGTGTATATATTCTTGATCAGGATGAGAAGCCGAGTGGATATAGCCTTGTCCGTCTGTCTGTCCGTATGAACGCAAGGATCCCAGAAAGTATGAGCTAGAATAACCAAACTTGGTTTCCATATTCTCCTAAGACCGAGAAAGTATGAGTTTGAGTTTTTTTCGATGCACCCCCCCACTCCCCCGCAATTCGTGTTTTTTCTTATAACTTCCGTAATTCCTGGAATTTTGAAATCAATTTTGGTACGTACATCCAGTTAGTACTAATGTGTCCGTGTGCCAAATTTCATCATGATAGGTCAGTTCTGAAGAAAGTTATAGCCATAAGTAAAATCGCAGCTGTTGTTGTTGTTGCTGCTTTGGTTCAACTTTGTGCTGCATGCATACACGCATATAAACACGCATAGGTACGTGATGTAAATGTATGCTGTTAAAACTGAACATAAACATGTATTCTAATTTAATTTAATTAATTAATTAATTCATTCATTTTTTTTAATAATTTAATTTCTTTTAATTTTTTTTTTTGTGGGGAGTACAGGCTATTTTACTGTCGGGCTTGCTCGACTGTAGCGTTCTATCTTGTTTTTCTTACTTTGCAAATTGTATATTCGAAATCGAAATCAATTTTTTTGACAACATAATTTAAATACAGGCCAGTGCCGAACTGCTTTTTTTCTTTGCCATGCACATTTAGATATTTTTTTAAGTTCCTTCATGAAATTTATATATAAATTTTACATTTTTTGTTATTATTATATTATTATTACTATTGCCGTTATTTTATTATTTTGTTTTCTTTTTTTAATATGGATAATTTTAGTTATCTTTGAAGCAAGAAAATCCCGTAATTTTTTTTATTTACTTATAAGAACTAGGAAACACGTAGTGTGCTTAAGGATCGTCTATAACTGTAGATGTAGCATGATGCTCATGGAAGGGTGGGGATGCTCGAGCCGCTCATTACCACCAATGCGAGCTCATTTAGTCTCTATGGCTCCTAGCGTAGAAAGCTTCCTCTCTTAATACTTTCTGCCTCCCTTTTCTTTCTACATGCTACAGTGCAATAGCGAAGTATTTTAAAGTGGAACTATCCATTCCAGTTCTACCATATAGCAACTATTCGGTACGGATCAGCCAGAATTGACAATGCGAGCCTATGTTTTGTTCCATTTACTCTGTTACGGACGTAACGTCGTTGGTATCAAGCCCAGGTGGTCAGGCTCGGGTATCAAAGTAGGCGTTCCAACTTTTTGTAAGTATAGCAGTATTTATTCCTAAGATAATTTATCTTAATTGAAAAGTCCTTCGCAACACAAATTTGGTTTTATGGAGTAGAAATAGTTATGCACTGTGATGTTTGACCTAAAGCTTCATATACAATCTTCCCCATATTCATATGCAGCCCTTAGTGAAAGTACTTTTTTGTTTATCTTTATCAAATTTATATTTATAGTATTTATTTACATATATATTTCGAACCAAAAGTAATCCTGCATGTTTAAAAGAAAGTTGGGACAGCAAGAATATGGGAGCTCCGCGACCGGATGACATCGTTAGATTTTAGCACACTGACTGGATAATGTGCTAGACCATTCCTTATGGATCGAAAGAAAAATATATTCTGAATCGCAGTGCCATAAATTTGTATTTATTTATTTTTGTTATGACAATGTGAGCAGTCCAGCAACGTCTATTTTTTCTGCATTATTGAATATAGTATAGTTTAGGATACCAAGGAGGTATACAACAAATTTTACACGGCTGAGCTACCAACTATGTTTTATTTTATAGATTATCCGACTCCAAATCCTGAAACATAAATTTACACTTTATATCAATTAGACGTTGCTAGCATACCGTCCGCATTTTTCTACTAATTCTAACAGGAAAAATATTACAAAAACTTGTACGCTAGAGGTTTTTTCGTTTTTTTTTTTTTTTTTTACTCTTTTAGCACAACAAACAAATGAAATTACATAAAACGGAGAAAAGTATGTGAGCTTTTCAGGAGACAAATGTAGCAACCATGTTCTGCAATGTGGTTCCTGAACCAATTCTTAAAATCACTTAACAAGGGCTTCGTTTACGTCGTATACATGTGTAGTTTGTGTTTTTGTAAACATGCATGAGCCATAACTGTGTTATAGAGTGATTAGATGTAGTTTTCTGTAATATATTTCGTTTATTTTATGCGATCGTTCGATGTGACGACTCTAATAAAGTGTAACGTACATAAAAGTATGTATATAGTATGTATGTACGCATACGTCGTATACATGAGTGGAGGTTTGAGAATTTTTAACCAACGATTTTTGAAATATCTTCTGATTCCGTACATATACAGAATTTTTTTTATCTTGCATTAATTCGGCTTAAAATCTACAAAAAATATAACTAATGTCTAGTATATGTATATTAAAAATTATTTTTACCGGTTTTTTTATTTTTTTTTTTAAATTTAGGCATTCATATTTTATTATGTTTACGTATTTGTAGTTCACAAATTGCTACAGCACACAGAGATTTATGCGAAGTAAGGTGATAAAACAAATAAAAGGCTTAAAAAATTGTACGACATACAGCACACAACTGCAAAAATCATTGATTTAGCTAGCAAAAGTCTTCGACATAAATGTTTTCCTATTCATAAAGTAATGGAAATAAATTGCATATATTTTAAATTTAACGCTGTTTCATTTAAGCTGGAAAAATATTTATATTTGACTTGGCAAGGTATGGGAAAATTTAATGTATATATGTGCATATACATATACATTGGTGCGTGCGCCCTTTGCGTTGGTGCTGTTGGTGTATTAACAAAAATTACAAAGCGCCCTTTTTGTTTGGTTTTAAGTTTTCTTCTTTTTTTGTAGCATTATTAATTGATAATCGTATACATAAATGATTGTTTGCAACTACGCATACTCCCACCACAAGAGTGGTTATTGCAATCTTCTATGAAATGGTTTTCATACCTTTCCACCAGTTCCCACCGACATTAACTGGTATGGGTAGTCACACACTGGTTACTGTACGTGTTGCCTTACATAATATTTTGTTGTTATTAGTATGCACTTAACTACAAAATAAGCGCGATAGTCGTTATAGAATATAAGGATGAGGTTAGTATTACATATAATTCAATTTTGGAGACCGATTAAGTGGACAGCTTAGCAAGTAATTATAACTACTGCTGTTATTGGTCTGTTTGTTCTTGTTACAAATATTGCAGCTGAAGCGCCTATTTCCGTTGTTAGTTCTGGAAGGCCTATCCTCAAGGGCTAAGATCCTGATGCAAATTTGGATCATAACCCCCCAAGCTATTATCATACGGTTGCTGTTGATCATAGCCACCAGATCCCATTGGATAGCCCATTGAGTCTTGTGGTGGAGCGGGTGACATCATGGGGGTTGTAGTGCCACTTGGCGGTCCTGCCATCGAATAGGGCGATGCTCCGGCTGCCTTCTTTGCTGCATACAAATTGGCCTCCTCCTGTGCTTTGCCAATATTCTTCTTGTAACGAATACGCTTATTGCCAAACCAATTGGAGACTTGCGATACCTAAGTAAAATGAAAAAATCTGTAATTTTTGTGACGTAAAATTTTGTTTATTTTTACTTACTGTTATACCGCACTTGCGCGCCAGTTCTTCCTTTGCCTCTTCGGATGGGTAAGGATTACTTAAATGACTATAAAAATATTCATTAAGTATTTCCGATGCTTGCTTGCTAAAATTGCGGCGCTTGCGACGGGCGTCTAGGAAGCGCGATCGCAGTATCATTACGGCCTCGCAGGTAGATTGCTTTAGCTGCATTTGAATAGAACTGAACTTTTTGTGTATGATCTGTACCATGCGTTCGATTTCTTTGGGTGTAATCGGTCTGTAATTAAAAAAAAAATAAAACAAAATTTTATTGAAAAATCGAATAAAGTGAAAACCCTCAAACGCGTCCCGCATTACCAACATGACATTTAAAATACATAATATAATAGAGTAAGAAATAGAAAACCAGTGTTTTTATCTATTTCACTTGTAGCTACGATATCGATGAGCCCGAAAAGCTCTTCTGTTAAACAAAACATCGCTGAATTGAGGTGTTCAAAAATCTAAAAGACAAAGGAATGAAAAATTTGCCAAACTATTGTCCAATACCTTCTCTGTTTGCATTTTCATTAATAATTGATTTGTGGACAAACATTACTAAAAGTTGACACTTAGCATCACCCATGCTTCTTTTAAAATATAATATTGGTAGTTGCGATCGAATTGAAACATGCTTTTAAGGGTGTAATTATTTACATACATAAATGTACATATTACACATCGAATAACAAATTGTCCCGCATTGGCTTTTGAAAAAGTTGGCCGCCTTAAATATGTTGGTCATTTAATATCTTATTACTACGACAGCACGATAGATTTATGATGCCCCAAAGAGCTCATTCAACAATCAACCTTTTCATACAACTCACCTGGTGCGACTCTGTTCGCGCAGCAAGTTCATCACATGAGTAGTAAACTCATTGCATGCTTGCTCGTATTTCTCCAGTTCCTGATGATAGATCTGGCGAATCTGTGCTAGCTTTGCGCGGTAATCAGAATGCTCAATAGCGTTGTCGGCCCCATCCATGGACAAGGAACCGCCTTGACTGGCGGCTGCTGCAGAGGCTGCAGCCGCTCCGCCACCACCCTTTTCTGGCCCAGCCACTCCCTCGGCAATTAACATGTTGTCCAGCCGCATCAATTGTGGATCTGGAGGTTCCTCCTCCTGCGTGTTACGAATGGAAAGCACTGCAAGCATTGTTGAAATTTTTGATTATAATAATAGAAACAAGTCGATTGTTAACGAATGAAAAGCAAGAGTTAAGCAGCCCCATATATACCCACTCCTTAAAAATAATTAAAAGTATATTTTATACCCCGTCCTAATTAGAATAACTAAACTTGGTTCAACACCCCCGTTCCCCCGCTTTAGAGCCGCTAGGTTCTAATACACAATACGACTGCTATTTACATTTCAGCAATAGAGAACAAAAACGACTCGTTTTAAAAATATGCAATACAGAGTTGGTTAAATTTTAGGCTTAAACTTCCTTCAACTTCATCAGAAAAAATAAAAACACAAACTTGTCCTTTGTCGCACATAGGAGATTCTTTGTACTAGCATTGATTATTTCAGCTCGTATAATTTCTGAGATGTTTGCATCAGACAGACGGACGGACATTTCTATATCGACTCGTCTTGTCATACTAGATCAACAATACATATGTATGTATATTTTATAGGGTCTGCCACGCCTCCTTTAGGCACAGGGTATAAATATCTAGCGCTACAAATAAATTGTAACAATATAGTACACTTAAAAACTACCTACCGGTCTTCTCCTTGATCTCGCACAGCACCGAGAAAAGCGCTGGCTTCATGCGATGACAATTCAAGGTATGCTTCCTGGCCTGCGCCTCGTCTAGAGATTGCTCCGAGATGCTCATTATTTGTTGCAATATTTCACCAATATCCTTTTGCTTGCGCACTTCATTTTCATTGCCCGCATTCTGGCCATCGTCTTGACCGGGCAACCCATAACCCTGGGGGGCCATCATGCCACCGGTGTGGGCCATCATCCGATTTGGATCCTCCATAGCTCTTTAATTGGTGTTGAGCTAAACAAGCAACAAACACGCAGCACACCCACTAAAAAAAGAGACAGGCGCAACCATTTAATACAGTTTTTTTTTAATTAAATAAAATTATATATATAAATATTTAGCGACGTTGCCCAGTTGCTTCTTTTTTACATTAAAATTGTATTTTATTCTTACTTACAGTGAGATAATTTCCTGAAAACTTGATATAGGAAGTATCTAATACAAGTATATACTATTTACATATAAAATATAATTACATAGTACAAGTATATAATTTTGTGGGATCTTCTTTTTATATAAATACATTCGGAATTAGTTACAACATCCCTTTGCCCATTGGGTAAAGGATATAACAAACATTTGCGAGACACCACCAATTCATGTAATAAGAGAGAACGAGAGGCAAGACTTGTCTATCCGCTTGCCGGAATTAGACTATTGGCTAATGTGTTCTCGCTCTCTCTGTCGAAACCACAGCAAATATCGTTCAAATGTGAGAATTGACAAAAATTGAACAATTTTGCTGTCTACAGATTATCGTGTTCAAACGTCGGGCGGTAACTCTTCTTATATGTTGGTTAAAGCTGCGAAATAAATGAATCGGATTTCTCTGTAACGATTACAAGTTGTGATCAATCGCTGGCACTGGCAATAGAAAACGTTTGTAGAAAAAGAATATGACAAAAGCCGACATAAATTCGTTTTTATTTTTGGAGCTCCAACCATAAACTTTTTATCTTCACTAATAATTGGTGCCTTAAAATGTATAAAATATGTTTTTGCAATTAAGTACCTGTATATGTAAGTATTTTTCTGTTGTATGCATTTTATTTAATTTACATACATATGTACAATAAAGGATGTTATCAATTCGTATGTATTTGTTTTGTGTTGTGTTTGACTGGCTGAACCGTTTTTGATGATTCTTTTATCATTTGAAAACTGGTGCTTCCCGAAGGGTCCCATTTCAATTTACTCCAGTTGTGACAATGGAATCCATGAGAAAACCATATAATTCTTAAAACATACAAAATGTTCATGGGTTTTGGATATAATGTGAAAACACCCGTTAAATGAGTGTTAAATTTAACTGAGATATCATGTGAAATAGAATTTCATTTTCAGTATAGTGCCGCCGAAAAAATCTAGCCATAACAATGTCGTGTAGCAATAAAACAGCTCAAAAGTCAGAAGAACAAACTGCAACAAGAATCGCAGCTTAACAAATCAGAACAGAAGATATATATGTATATGTAGACGAGAATCTTAGGAACGTTTACGATAATATATATTGAGAAGGGGTGCGCGAAAACTGAATAAAGACACATTTAGAGAAAGGGACAAAGAGAGGCAGCAAACAAGTAGTGCATTAACATTCGCCATGCCATGCGAATATGCAACAGACATTAATTACACTGTCTTTGCATATCCACGACGAATTCTTTAGAACATGAAAGGTTCGCGAGACTCCTGTTGAAATAGGCGTTTTTAGTTTGTTTAATTTAAACGGCGCCGTCTCGTATGAGCAACACATTTGGTTGGTCTACCCATACTCAGACACATTAGTTTACTTTAGATTCACTAAAAATCAAAAAATAAACAATTTAAAAACAAGATAGAACCCTACAGTCGAGCAAGCCCGACAGTAAAATACCCTGTACTCTCCACAAAAAATGAAAATTAGAAAAAATTATTTAAAAAAATTTAATTAATTAATTAAATTATATATATAAATATATATAATATTCAACACATTCAGACATACATAAGTGTTTATGAACTGCGTGTTTATATGCGTGTATGTATGCAGCACAAAGTTGAACCGAAGCAGCAATAACAACAACAGCTGCGGGCAGAGCATGGGCTGGGATTTAATTTATGGCTATTACTTTCTTCAGAATTGACCAAACATGATGAAACTTAACATACGGACACATAATCACTAACTGGATGTAGTAACCAAATTTGAGTTCAAAATTCCAAAAATTATGGAAAAAGCACAAATTGCGGGGGAGTGGGGGGATGCATCGGTAAAAAAAACTCAAACTTGTACTTTCTCAGTCTTAGGAGAATCTGGATATTAAGTTTGGCTGTTCTAGCTCTTATACTTTCTCAGATCCTTGCGTTCATACGGACGGACATATATATACAAGTACATATGTCGTCTTCTCATCCTGATCACCTTTTGGGTACAGGGTATAATAAATCGACTTCAAACAATTCTACCACAAATTAAAATGCGCTAAAAAGTAAACAAATAATTGCGTATTTCTCTACAATAATGTAGATACAATCATTGTTACTTTTGGAGCCGGCGTCAGCGGTCGCGTGCTGCGTCAGTCTGGAGAATCGAACGATACGAGTCACTTGAGGAGCTCTTCTGCAGTTTTTTCCGATCAACTTAAAATGTGGAGGGCATGGTCATCATAAAAACTAACACACCGCTTTCACAGGTTATCGAAATAACAAAACTATTTTACTACGTAGTTATGAAATACACGAAGTTATTAGGGTCTATAAAGGTTTTTAGAAACTCATTTAAAATTAACTTTTATAGTTCTGCTTTCCTTTCATCATTTTCATGTTAACATTTACAAATTAAATCAAAATCAAATTACATAAACATTTTGCAATGTTATATTATTACCAAAAACCCTTTGAATTATAAAAGTACGAAGTGCATGTGTTGTATTAGATCTATACAATACCATTTTGACGAGATCATTACGAAGCTCTTTATCCAATCCACCTTTACGATAAGTAAATGGCTTTACTTCTTCAAATTATAACAAGAGAGAACGCTACAGTGGAGCAAGTCCGATAGTGAAACACCCTGTGCCCAGACAAATTTTCAGCACTGAGTTATATGCGCCCATCGCAAAATCAAAAATAAGAAGGGAGTGAAATTGTTTCGCCAATAAGTTTTATAAGAATTGGCAGATTTGGTTGAAAAGTAAATAATTTCATATAGATTATGCGTTTGGTTTATATATCTTTTGAAATGCGGACAGTATTGGCGAAATTCTGTATCGGGAGGGGGGGAGAAGAAATCAAAAGTATAAAATAAAGTCGTGTTGCCTGGATATAATAAGAGTTTACATACCAAACTGGGTTTATGTAGCTTTCGAAATATGGACAGTATTGACGGTATTCTAACGGGGCGTGGTAATCCAAAAAATAAAATAAACTCGTGTTGCCTGGATATTAGGAGAGCCGACATACCAAGTTCGGTTTATGTAGCTTTTAAAATATAGACAGTATAACAATTTTGTAGCGGAAGAAAATCAAAGAAATTAGATAAACTCGTGTAGCCAAGTTTGGTTAATATGCGGTTAGCCGTTTCCGAAATCTAGGCGTTCATCCAGACGGACGGACATGTCTAGATCGATTTCGCTTGCCATGCTGATTAAGAATATATATTTTTACTATATTATATTCATTTAGTCAAAAATTAACTACTCTAAAAGAATTAATAGTGATTGGTGCAGCATCATTACTTCATCTATAGTGTAGCGGGTATAATTCTAAAATATAATACAATGTTTTGATTTTATAAACTTAAATTAAATTTAGTTAAAGATATAAAATATAATACAATTTTTGATTTTATAAACTTAAAGATATTTAAAATATAGCATCTAAAATCCTATTTTCTTTTGCAATCTGTTAGTTTCCCCATTGTAATCCTTGAATACAATAGGAAAATGTTCCGATTGACAAATTGCATGGAAATTCAGAAGCTCAGCTCCACTGCAGTAGCAGCATTGTAAATAAAGAAAACCCTAAATATCTCACCACGAGGCAATGTGGAATAGAATCTCCCAATATCCTGCAAATATTGGCGTAAAAGAAATTGTACCATGTAATGTGTATAAATTGTATTTTGCAAATCAGTTTATGTGGTGGTCTACTTTATAATACCGCAAATTTACGATGCATCAACAATGGCCAACAAATCTTTGTAAAATCAGGTTTCACGCAGGTTTCAAAAATGACAAAATGTATACTGTTTTCAATCTTTTTTGTTCTTGGCCATACATATCATAGCCGTATATGTTTATACACAAATATGCAAGAAAAAACATATGTATGTACAAATATCCGCTAGCCAGTGGTAGTTATTGCAATTGGTAACTAACAGAATAAATTTGTATATAAGTATATATAAGGGTGGTCCTTACCCACTTGAATATTTAGAAAAATTGGCCCAGACAACACCTGATAGTATTATATACACACATATGAACATATATGTAAGTGTATGCACATATGTAATATCATCATTGCAAGTCAGCGCAAAAATTAAAGCCAAAACCTGTTTACTATTACACACAGGAATATTGCTGCCGATGGTTTTATTTTTGCTATAGAATTCTTATAAATCAGGCAGATCTTATTCTTTGCTACAGTTTGTTGATTGCGGTCCGAGTATAACAGATAGGCATAGTGTGTATAACAATCTGTTATATACGAAAGATAACCCCGTCTATAGTGCATACAAATTTATATTCAAGTATGTACATACATACATACATTGAAGACACAAACTTAAACTTCTATACACATACACATTAACAGTACGCAATAATAATAAATTAATGGAACTTACATTGTTTATACACTTGTGTTTCGTTTCACGGTAATAAATTGGTTTGATGATAGACTTTAACTAAAATATACAGGGTCTGATGTATGTATGTATATTATTATTTTTCACTCCGATGGGCGAAGTTTCTGATAACTCTTGGATCTATCCACACTATGCACAATGGCACTTATTTAATTGAATTGCGTATGTATCTTGAAACTATTTGTGATATATTAGTAAAATAATTTTCAGCATACACATTACTCGGAATTTCTATAGAAATTTGCCACACGAAAAAGAATGGATATACGATTATGCTGCTAACAAAAAGTGTATATGTATGTATATGCGCATGCTCGGGTACCGATTAGAGAAGGGCGATAATAGCTGCACTCCGATTTGTAACGAGTATTTAATACGAATACAAGATTTTGAAAAACACTGATGCAAGATCACAGCACTCATTACCGTGTTGGTACTCTTATTTCGGTATGCTTAAATTGTCACTAAATGGCATGAATTTTGTCGACTATTTTGTATTGTAATATATGAATAGGGACAAGAAAAAAAACGGTTGGAACCTGTGCTATAATAAAAATATTTTTAAAATACGTGCACCATCTTACATTTCTATTGGCTCGAATAATATTAGTTAAAGTTAATATGCTCACTGCAATTTTTCGCCTTCAAATACCAACTGTGATCAAATATTCGTATAAATAAAAGCTTAATTCAACCAGCAACCATCGGATCACGGTTAATGATAGTTTTAAATAATTCTATATTCGATAATATTCAAAATCTTAAATTAATACTCATTTAAATTATAGAAGTGTGGCTGGTTGTAGACGTTTCTTGCAGCTTCTGAAGATTCGTTGGACAACCCTGCATTTACTGATATAAGAACGTGTTTTTGACATGAAGTAAGAAGTGTTTTTGAAGGAATTGGTGGGTCCAGTTTCTATAATAGTCAGTTTAAGTTTTCTTTCCTAGGTTATCTCACGCTTAATTAGATACATGTGTTTTAATTTTGGGGGTCACGAAGTAAGATCTCAAACATAATTGATCATCAGCTGTTAGTTACGGCTGTGTGTAGATGTTATGCCAACGACTCCACTTGTATATTTTGTCATGTTGATAGTAGCATTTAAATTTTAGAAATGCGCTTTGCGATATTTGCCGTTAAGTTTGAATATTGCTTTTAAGTATTGCATATTTTGTCCAATGCAAAGCAATTGTACAGAGACCACCACACATGCACGCAGATATAATATAGATTTAATACATGCATGTACATACAACACATACAATTTGGAAAACAAACTCCAAGTTTATTGCACTGCACTATGGTTTTTTTGCCGTTTTTTTTGGCAGAAACTCGAAATATTAAGATATTTACCCCAAATTTAGTTTGTACGCATATTTTGGTACCTCAAGACGACATACCAAGTTTGGTTCAGTTTGGGCCACTATTTCATATAGCTGCCATATAACCGATATGGCCGATTTTCACTAACTTCAGTATTTTTAACTGTATCGAACCAGAAACTGGCCTATATATTGCTCACATGAAATATATTTTAGTTCACAAAATATAAATAATTTAATAAGTTTATTTTATTTTTTTGATTTCCCCCCTCCCCCCTCTTCCAGGCTACAGAGTTTCGTTAATACTGTCCACATTTCAAAAGCTACATAAACAAAACGTTGCACACGTAAGTTATATAGAATCATCTATCTTTGTTTTAAATTTCAATCAAATCGGTACATTTTTAGAAAAGTTATTAGCGAAAACATTTCACTCTAGTACTACGCCCACAAGCACAGCATCAAGCTACCTCATCTTCTTCTTTTTGCTTCCGCTATGGGCAGTGCTTGAAGTTCGTCTTGGTACAGGGTATTTCACTGTCGGTATTGCTCGACTATAGCGTTTTCTATCACGGCTCAAAATCGCCATCAACATCAACAATCATGTTAAAAGCAAAACAATTTTTGTCTTTTTTGAATGGCTTTAAAGTTTGATTACAACTTGGCATGTGTTTTTTAATATAATTGGAGAAGGATTTACCGACATTAACATAGTATTGTATTCATCTAAGATGCTTACGTTAATTTTCTGTAATATATTCTGCTTAAATGCGTATTCTGAGTCTTTGTTGCTGCTACAAATGTAAACAATGTTTGCATGCCCAAACAGTAGTTTTGCTGCAACAAACGCAATTTTACAGAAAACGTGCTAATTGGGACGAAGTTCTTTAGTAATTCCATAATAAACATATATTAGTTAGTATTTCCACATTTATAACTTTTTGCAACTCTTTACCATTCAAAAGTACTATTCCACGAAACACAGCGCAACTTATAAAGGTTAATTTAAAAAAAGCACATGAACAACACATGTCACAATTACGCGAACACACTTCATCGCTTAAAAACAGTTTTGGATTAAAATTTTACATACCTTAATTAACGTTTTCCATTATATAACTTAACTTTTGTGGGTTATTTTCTTAATTCTGGAAGCTCTGAAAGTTGACAAAAAATTATGTACATATTCTGAAAGCATTTCGACTATTTATCATCTTTTAACAATTGCAATTGCCCAGCATCCTGTCAGGTACATATAAAGATTGGTGACATGATTCTTGGTACAAACCCACAATCTCTGAACAAGCAACCACTAACCATACAATGTTGTATGGACGTAAGGCTCAGGTAACCTCGGCAACAGCCGTCAAAAGAACCATTGGCTCTAGAGCTTGAGCCATAAGAATTCATTAGGGACAGCCCACTATACGTTGGGCCAATATTTCAAGGTTTATTTAAAACTAGCAGGTCTTGCCCGTCTTTGCTGGGCTAAGTAAAATGTGCTTATAATTAAAATAAGTTTATTTACTATATGTATGATATACTTCTTTCGACGCTCTCTAAAGTTTTTTAAAGGGTTCATTCTCAAAATAGCATTTATAGTACAGTAAGTACTATGTATGGTTATACGATTACATACATACATACATATCTTCGTTACGCACCGGGCGGATTGCCAGTCCTGACTTAGCTGTGTGCTTCCTCAGCACGTTGTACACACGGTCGAGTTTTCCCCGAAAAGTCCGACGCGGGACATTTAATTTTTATTTATAAATCGGGACGTCCCGCCAAAATTGGAGCGTTCGGCAGTGCTGATATGTACATACATTTACATTTTACATGCAGGCGTTATCCGCCTATATACATACATACATACGTACATATATAAGCATGTATTAAATTTTTTAATTCAACACTAATTTGTGTCTTCAATTCCAAATATGATTGTTGTGAATGTAAAATGTGTGTTTTTGCTTTTGTAAATCGCATGAATACACTCACAAAATAGGCTTAACGGTAAATGATTTTTAGATTTGTTCAGAATACATTTGTAGCGTTGTTAGCTAACACTAAAACGGTAAGTCGCTGTAAATATGTGTCGGATGCTCTATGTGCTAGAGCATCAAAACTATCGATAGTTGAATCCGTCGATACAATCAATAATTCCATCGAAGTTTGAATGCACTTAACAGAAAATTTAAATAATAACATCTTATAATTTATTGGGATCAATTAGAACAAATCATATACAAACATACATATGTATATATGTACATCTGCCCGCAACGCGAAGCAGAATATGCGTAGGTCCGCTTTCGGTTTCTGCTTTACTATCGCTTACGCAGTCGTTGCCTAGCGAAGGTAACTGTAAACTTTTGGCATTTTGCCAAAGGCGTAAATGATCAAAACGAAAGAAGAAGCGCGAGCCAATGAATTGCAGTTGTTGTTGTTTTCGTTTAAAAAATTTCATTTCAAACCATAGAACATTATTTATTACAATCAAACAACAGTGCTCCATTGTCCAATGTATGCATACACACATACATACCGTACGTAGAGAACCGCACACATAGACACGAACTGTTGCTTGTTCTGTGTGTGAGTGTGTGTATACGATTTCCCCAACCAAGGGCGTAGGCAGCTTTTACCAAAGGGGGGCCTACGCCCTTGTCCCCAACTATTTGATATTTGCGTTCTTTGTAATTTGTTGTTGCTGCATAAAGTTACTAATGAAAACCATAATGCCAAATGCACTAAACAAAGAAAAAATTACTTTTAAAAATGTTATATAATTTTCAATTAATTAACATTTCTTGCTCTGTCAGTGCAAGACGAATGTACATACATACATATGTAGACACATATGTACATACATAGATGTGCACATATGTGTGGACATTCACACATTAGTGTCTCACATGTTGCTTTGGCTATTTCAATAGTTTGCACGCAACTACACGAACAGGTGTTTGTGTGTGGGTGTGTGTGTATACTTAGTTGTCCCCAACTGTTTGATATTTTGTATTGTTTGTTCTGCCTGCTTTTGTAAAATGCATATTTTGAAAATCCTTGAATGCAAAGTTGTAGATTTAGTTACGTAGATTACATTACCCAAATTTTAAGTCGATCGGTTGAAAAACTCGGATTTTTTAAACAAACTTTGGAGCTACTTTTCCCCCTTTGGAGCTCGAATCCCTTCTTAATGCACATTTACACTATGATAGGATACTTGCCCCCAAATTTCAGCTTTCTAGCTCTTACCGTTTGGGCTGTGGGCTGTTGACGCGGTTTCCTTTTGTGCCCCAAGAAAACCCCAATAATTCAAGCTCCAACAAAAAATTTAAAAAACCGAGTATGCAGTTTTCTTTGTTTTCTTTTATTGATTTCAGAAACCAAGTTTTATGTCGATCGGCTAAAAAATGCGGATTTTTCAAACAAACTTTGGAGCTCGTTTTCCCCCCTTTGGAGCTCGAATTTTCCAAAATCCCTTCTTAGTGCGCATCTACACCATGATAGGATACTTGATCCCAAATTTCATCCTAGCTTTTACCGTGTGGGCTGTGGGCTGTTGACGCGGTTTGCTTTTGTGCCCCAACATTTTTTTACAGGAAAACTTCCATATATTAGGCCCAAAAAAAATATCAAAAAACCAAATATACAGTTTTTCTTGGAATTGTTCTGAGATTATACAAACTTAGTTTGAAGTTAATCAGATGAAAAATGTAGATTTTTCATACAAACTTTGGAGCCTGTTTTCCCCCCTTTGGAGCTCGAGTTTTTCAAAGTGGGCACCTAGACTATGAAAGGATACTTGAGTCCAAATTTCAGCTTCCTAGCCTTTATCGTTTGGGCTGTGCGTTGATCACCAATCAGTCAGTCAGTCAGGACAAACTGTTTTATATATATAGATATAGAAGAGATACCCGAGCCACACCGA